CAAAGTAATTGGATTTCAACAACCATTTTTGTCCATCTTCATGGAGAGATATGAACTCATTCCTAAATTATGAAAAGAAATAAGACATGTAATGCATCACGCTCACAACCTGTCACAACACAAGTTGGTCCACGAGACACAAGAATATTTTTATGCTTTAACGATGGGGAGAAAATTACGACACTGATTCTACATTCATGAATTATAGAACTGAATCAAAGGCATTACAAATGTCCTCACATCCCCAATATTGGATGCAAATGGAATTCATTTCACTGCTGCCGTTGATCGGTACAAGTATCTTGAAAACCCCGAGCACACGGAGTGTGAGGGCAGTGATTTATGATCGACTATGATGACAAGATGGCGATTACTAAAGAAAATGTGTTTGTCAGAGAAAAATAATCATGGTCGAACGCACTTGGGGGAAATCGAGCGCTTTCGAATGATGTATCACACAAGAACTTGGGTTCAAAATTAATAAGAACTAGCCGACCCGTGGAAGACTTTCACGAACTCTTCGGCAAGAAATCCCGAGTTCACTCGACGGCCTTAAAACTCAGTGGCCCTCTTATCGCTATATGCAGCAACCCCTCCTTCCCATTCTTTACGCCCAACACTTGAAGCCCCCTTGATTCCGCTGAAGGGAGGATGACTTCCTCGCCGGCGTGAGATCTTCGAACTTAAATTTATCGGCAATTTTCCCAATTGATTACAACCCTGTCCGCTTCGGCCATAAAGGCAATCTCCATCACTTTGCGTGCAAGCCATTGAGTGAAATATACGGATATGGATACGGAATGGTAACGACCCAACCGGTGGCATCCTTGCTTTCCAAAAGTCAGCGATCTTGTTCTGTCCCATCCTCATGGAATCCCGCCGCTTTCACCATCTAGTGCTACTCTCCTTCGCACGGAGGAAAACGGGACTCCAAGGGTGGTGCGTTGGGTTTCCTGCATGAAAGCTCATATTTGAACATTCATTAGTTAGGGGGGTACGCAAATCGTACAATGACACTCTCTCCTATTCTCAAGAACGAATCCAACTGTTGCGATGGCCAGAGAGAAAATGCGAGCGTGAGACGGGCTCAGTCAGCAGCCCTAAAACTCAGCGGCCCTCTCAACGATATAAAGCAGCACCACCTCCATCCTGTTCTCGAGAAAGACCTGTGGAAAAATTCCAGGAACTTCGGGTCGGTCTTGGCCCTGGTTGTCAAACTACCGGTCCTCTTCAACAGTTGGTTTTTAAACAGAATAGACTATTTCAACCTGAAACTTGAAAGTTGTCAACTGAAACCTAGGTGCAAGATGTGCGTATGTGGGCCCAAGCACTCCTGAAAGCTTCCATTCGGCCGCCAGCTTAATCAAGGTTAGCATTTCTGGCTTAGGCTAAGCTTGTAACATAATCAGGGTCGCCAAAATGAATTGTGAGGCCCGGTGCAATATTCACGTATGGACCCCCTTTCCACTCTTCCCCCCTCCCTACAGCTTCAAATACTGAGTGTGTTTAAACTCTTCATTGCGAACGAACGCCACGATAATAATAAACAATAGTACATACATCATCCGGTGAGGCCGTTCCCCCCCCCCCCCCCGCCCTCCCCCTCTCTACGGTCCTGAACGTAGTCAGGAAATCCATGAGTTCAGTCAGCAGCCCCATTAACCTGCCATTAACGCTCTACGCAGCAGCCGCTGGCATTGTACGTCTTGCGCATCCCCCTCTCATTCACGGGGGTGTTCACGCCTACGATACGGACTTTTATCGAGCGGCACTCTTATCCCGTATCGATCTCGACGAAGTGCGTATCGTCGGTGAAGTCCATCTCCACCACTTTTCATGATGGCCTATGAGTGAAACATACGATTCAGAAACGGGATGGTTACTACGCGGCTGACTGCATCTTTCCGATCCGAGGGTTCCTGTTCCATCGAGGTGGGATCCCGCCGTTTTCACCCTCGGTAATCACTCTCCTTGTGAGAATGCCGATCAATAAAAGGACGGGGTTCTAATTGATAAAGGGGTCGAGATCCCGATAAATCTATGATCTGATTATGAAATATATGATGATGAGATCTCATCCCGGCGAGGAAGTCATCCTTCCATAGGGGATGAAAAGGGACTACAAGTGTAATACGCGGGGACGTTTAACACGTTCCTTCTGAGAAATCCGTCTCGGACCCCCGGGCCTGTATCGGGAGCGGGGGGTGCGCGTAGAATGCATCTCTCCCGTTGTATGTAATGTTTTGGATAACATATAAAGAACAATCTGATTGTATTTGGTTCGTTGGTGTAGAGGAAGAGTACTTGGCTAGTCGGAGATCCTGGGATCGATTCTAGGCTGCTTTATTATTTTTCTTTCGCCAGGCCATCAAAAATCTTCCCCCCCACCCCGTCCCCCGGGGCTATAACGTTCTCAAAAATGGATCCGACAACCGCAATTGCCTCTGGGAAGGTGACAGTTCGAGAGAGCGAGACAGACGCCAGGAGCCGGGCAGAAGGAGGCGCCGCACATGGCACGGACATACATATGCCCAAGCATAATATATATTTAGAAGGTCATCCGATTCAGGTGAGAGGTCAATTCAGAAAGAAAATCTAAAATGAGTTTGCACATCTACAAAAAGTTAGAAAACGAATGATCTATCGTCAACGCAAGTCGGATGAGAAACCTGGGAGGAATTCACCGGACAAAGTCCTGTTAAACAGACATCTGCAGGTCGTTAACTCAGCAAACAAACGAATATTCAATCAGCGTTGTATGAACGTTAATTTTTTTTACCTTCCCATTGTTGTGGTGGTGTTGCTTCTAACATTAAGTCAATATTGCAATGTCGTTCATCGCAATAATTGCAATGCGTTGAACTTACTTTGCATCAACGTTCCTAACGTTTTTTCAATGTTGAGTCAACATTCCTAGCAAACCATTTGAAACCACAACTTTGAATCAATGTTGAATCAAGATTGAATAAACGATCGGAACATTGATACAACGTTGGTCCTACGTAGCCTTGTTTGCTGGGTTGATTCAACGTTATTTGTTTCACGGTGTTTGCAGGGACCCCAGTCGCGCTCCTTGTAGGCCTACTGGTTGAATAGCGACGATCAAGGAATTGACTTCGGGTGTCCGGAAAGTAATGTGAATCGTTTGTAAATGTGTAATTCTACAAGCAGTGCACTTCTCACTGCTCAGGTATTTATATGTAATATCTATGAGTGCCGATTTTCAAGTCGATCTCTTGCGATCTGCTTACAAAGCAGACCTCAAAAGAGATCGCTATAAGCTCAGTGCAACGCGGGCTGCTTTCAACAATTTAGATATGGCTACAAGCGCAGAGAACTTTCGCTTCTATGAGTTCACACGGTTCAAACTTGGCATTGCGGCCGCTGCCTGTCACACGGAACAAGCTTGTTGCAAAAGGCCATGTTGAGCGTTTGGCAGACCTCATCCACCGGCTCTCGCACCGTCTCGACGAGCTCTGGTTCTCTGGTTCTCGACGAGCTCTCGACGGCCATTGTGGAGCTGGTCAAGAAAGGAAGAATCCTTTTCTTTTTCTCCTGCCGCTTTGAAGCTGCTGAGCCAGCGGAAGAAAGTAGACTTGCCAGGATTGTCACCGCCATACACAGTGACCAGTTCCGTGTGGCAGGCAGTCACCGTAACCTTCCTATTCTGTTCGGGTCTATATGACCCGAAACACTAATTCAACCTGATGTAGCTTCTATGTATTTCATCGAAAAAATCGGAAATTTTTTTACTTTTCCTAACTTTTCGAATATATTTACGACTTCAAAGGCGAACTCATTACCGCGAAGCATTACTGAAATATTTGTGACACCCCCTCCTGTTATGCTCGGGTCTATTTGACCCGATTGCAATACTAGTGCATTTTCAACATGGGTTACACCATCTTGGACCTTCTTGGAACAAGTTTCCGGAGCACTTGCCCTTGAGAAATGTAGTGATTCTCAAAGTCAAGTGTTCTGCCAGTTTTGGGAAATTGCGGATTCATTCTGGTTTAGGCTACACGAGCCCATCCGGGTCGCCGTGTGACTTCTTCTTGCGTTACACCCTCTTGGAGCATTTTCTTCGCTTCGTCCTTTTGTTGCTGCGTTAGCCTTGGCATATCTTTCATGTTTTTCAGAGACGGTATGAAATACACAATGGAATCAGCTCTTTTTCGTCTATGGAAATCTGAACTTTACATAGGACATGGAGAAAAACTAATTAGACATATTCCTGACGTGGCACGTGCACAGCTCTCAAAGGTTAGCGAGCATACGTTAATAATGTTCAAGAGGTGTTGACTTGTTCAGCAAAAGACAGATATAATGCCATCACAACTCCTACTCTGCGAGCGAGCCCTACATTACCTTGTAATATTTCTTTTGGGTGCCAGTATATTATGATATGTTGGACACCTTGGTCTACAACGCATATGTGCTGTGGACTCCAAAAAAAAAAACGGGATGGCACACTGTTCTCTGCTTCCGTCATCATTTCTGCACGACTGCCTAGACCATGCAATGACTTGAACTCCTTTGCTAGACTGAGTTCAACAAGCAGCAAGAAAGAGCCTGATGTACTTTTTGTCTCTCCGCTTATGACAAAGAAACAAGCATCAACTGAACGTTGTATGGAGAATATATTTGCGATTTGTGCCCAAGTACGCTTCATGTGCCTTGCAAAATCTGCCTGGTGCCTGGACCCTGGATTAGTGTAAAGTTTAAGAAAATTAAATTAAAAACTTCAATCTGCCATACAACAAAGCCAGATTAGTTTTAATTTGCTTGCCACCAGGAGTGAATGGCACCTAGCAACTGCATAGTTGCTAGGTATAAGGACTGGGCTGTTGCACATCTGCTATGAACAGATTTACCTCAAGAGCTTGCTACCTGTGCAGTCTAAAAATGTTTATTTGGTATGTACCATATCTGCTACATTATGCATTAAAGGATTAAGGAAGGACTGAAGTGTGTGCAGAGAGGGACATGAAGCCTGTTACATGGCCAGGTAAATTCATGGAGCTGTGAATTATTGAACATACCCATTCCTGCAGGCCTGGACACTATGGAGAGCTTTTGAGAAAAGTTTGATTATTAGGATTCACCCCAGTCAGGTATCAGTTATCACATTTTCCATGACAGGACACAGGCATATAACATAAAAGTTAAATCTAATATAATTAAAGCCTAGGAAAATATCATAAATTCTGTGTAGACATAAAAGTTTTTCATTTTTAGTGACATAGTTGTATAAATGAAGCTTTGCTTTTTTGATTCCATCTGCTCCTTTCAAGAAGCTTTTCATGGTATTATAAAAGTACCACATACTCTCATCAGGCATTTGAATTTTCTTACTGAATTTTCAGAGTTCTGAGTGCTGGTGAAGTTTCATAACCATTGTATTCAGATGTTAAAAGTACTGAGAAATATAGATGTCTGCAAGTAAAATATAGTAGAAAGTGTCATGATTTTTGTGAGATCCAAAGTGATTTTCTGCTACTAATGCTCTCTTCTAAGTTGAGGAGTTCTCCAGAAGAAGGGCTTATGTGCAAAAGGTATGATAGAGCAGGGGTTCTTAACCTTTTTGTACCTACGGACCACCCAGATCCTCAAGTATTACCCATGTACCCCTACCCCCAGTTATCAGAAACTTTGGAACACCTGGATTTGTGATTATAAATGATGTTTTTTGGGAGCTACCTTCAATTAATTTTTAATTTTCCACAGACACCCTGGACCTATCCCATGGACCCCAGGTTAAGAACCCTTGTGATTGAGAAAAACAGTGTAATCTCTTCACAGTGAATCTGTAACCAATTTCAATCCAGTTTCCAATGATGAGTTATCAATGCTGGTCCTTATTTAAACTATAAAGATTACTTCTTCAAAGGAAGAGGAGAAAAGTAGGAACATTAATGATTATTCTGGACTACCTCACATTAGCACCATCACTATTCCAGTTTATTTTCCTTTAGGCATTTTTCTGTAGGCTTGCGTGAGTTGTCTTTATTCTTCCCCTTTTCTCCCCATGGGTTGCAATAATGAGACAGCTGGACACCTGCCTGCCAAACAGCAGGAGCATGGAGAAATTGCTACTCTTTTGCTGCTAATGCATCTGAGCCATCTTAACATCACTTTATCATATTGCAAGTGTCCCAATGTAGTGCATGAACATGGATATGGAAAAGGGCATATGGTCACTTAGCACTTTCTTTTTTCGGAGAACTCCTCAAATGAACCCTTGCCATTTACTCTTCCTTGATCTGTTGCACAGACTGAAATAATGCATCAGGTGTACTTATCTTTTACATAGGTGGTCAGAAAATCAATGTGTACGACAGAACCTTGCGTTGACTCCTGAAAATCAACGCCTTGTCCTTGGCCGAGCCTTGAATCTCATTCGGTTCCCATTGATGACAGTGGAGGAATTTGCCATGGGTCCAGCCCAATCCCAGATATTGACTGATCGTGAAGTGGTCCAACTTTTTCTGTACTTCACTGTGAATCCAAAGCCTCATGTTGGGTTCCTTGACATTCCACGTTGCTGCATGACTGGAAAGGAAGTGACATTGTCTGTGTGTCGCTTCCAGAAGATTGAATCTCGATGGGGCTACAGTGGCACTAGTGATCGCATCAGGTGCATAGTTGAACTGCATGGCCAAAGATGCTTGAAGCAATTATTAACAGTGGGTGCATTCAGCAGAGCAGCATTCTGCTGATTGCTTGTTGAGAGACTCCCAAAATTGTATAGGTTGCTCCAACATAGTTTGCTCACAAGATGTAGTAGTAAAGTAAAATTCATCCCATTTGCTTCTTTTGCTGTTTGTAAATTGCTGCTGTATTGAATGCACCTAGTATCAGATCCTTTTGGAACTGAATGTTTGGCAAAGCTGTCAGGTCTATCTTTTATTTCCACATAAAACTTGCTCCCCAGACAATGTTATTCAGCACTTGTACTTCTAAGCACTCTATTCAGAAGTATTCTCAAATGACATGAATTGTGTCAGAAAGTATAAAAATTGGCAAGAAGGAGTGTATGAATCTATCTCCATGAGTAGTCACATACAGACAGTAACAGTTTGTTTCTATGAAGAAAGATTAGTGCATATTGATGGAAGTCAGAATTCCTTCATGTCACTCATATAAGCTCTCACCTGTCATATACAGCACAGGGCATCTTCATTTTCCAAAATGAAACCAGAAAAGGTTGATTCACATTTACCTGGTCTGTTTCTTAGTTTTCAAATGCCTTCTCCTTTGTGCAATGTTTTTCCTTAGATTCCTAATAATTCTAAAGTCTCTCATGAACTTTTCCTTCTATTCATGGTTTCTCTTACATTTTCCATGATGATTAAATTGAGGCATTCAAAAGTGGGAATTGCATGAAGCTAAAGTTCTGAACAGACTCATTTCACATGATCTTTCCATACTTTCTTCACAGTTGTATTGTGTAGAGATTTGAATGCCTCCTGTGGTCTGGGAATCCCTCACCAATTTGCAATCTATGCAATTAGTCTTTTTCCCCACATGAAGGATGCTATCAACCTTGTTTGATTGTAGGTTGTAAAAGGAAATTTATATTGATATAACTCTGTTTCTCTTACCAAGCAAAGCATTTCCAATTTTTCTCCATATGGGAGAAACCCTGCCCATATATAGTGAGCAGGAACTCAGTTATGCATTCTTGTACTGATTTTACTTAATTTTGTATTAGGGGTCTACAAGTGCACTCTAAAGTACTGATCACTGCACCCTTCATCATCTTTTGAGAGGCAGAATTATAATGGTGTTTATTCTAATTGCATTTGCTGCTTTTACACCCATGTGATTGATTATGGTTAATATTCCAAAAGAGGAACTAATAGCTGTTACTAAATTATCTAGCCATTATAGCTAAAAATGCTGCCAACATTAATGAGTTGTTTGAAGAAGTCAATGTACCCATATACTCATCTGGCAAGCAGTTGTAGATGGATGCACACTTTTCCTCTTTTGTAAAATTCACTATATTTAATGTGTTAATTCAACCATGTCTAGTGAAGAAGTCAGTAAAATTTTAATGACAAATGTACAAGGCTGAAATTCGATCACTGCTGCTGAAGGAACATAACCACTTAGGAAGATGAAGGAGCTATGCAATAGCTATCACTTCTTATTGAATTTACCTTGTATGCCATGGAAGAGAAATTAAGTCCTTTTCTCTTGGAGGCCCCTAAACAAAAAACAAAAAAATGCAATTTGCAAACTAGTTTTGTCCCAGACCTAAATAAAGGCCCTGCTGGTGTGAATTAAACACTAAGCAGGCAATATTGAATATTTTTCATTGTTGGCTCTATAAAAAAAAATTAGTGGAATGTGTCTGAGAGTTACAAGATCACAGAAGTTGCCAAAACATAGTCTGTTGTTCAAACTTTTAACTACCTCTTTGATGCTAATGGCATTGTTGTTGCATACATTTTTGGCATTGCAAGAATTATTTCAAACAAGTTGTGCATTCTGTGGGTTAGTACCAGATGAAAATATTAGAACATTACCCTGTATTGTGAAAAGTATTGATGTGCATTGCACCAGATTCCCATGAGCTATAAGAAATATTTATGCATCTTCCCATAATGGGCAGCTAATTGGTGTGATCCACCTTTTGCTCTTCCATTTGTTCTCGCTGCTGCTTGATCTTACTGTTGTCTTTATCCTGACTAGGTTCGTGGTGGACAGGCGAATCTTTGTTGTAGGATTTGGGCTATATGGATCTATCCATGCCCCCCAAGAGTTTGATGTCAACATTCAACTGATCCATACTGTCAGTGGGAGGGTACTTGGGGACAATGATACAAGCTTTTCCTGTGATGGTACTCAGATGACCTTCAGGGTCATGTTCATGGAACCCATTGAGATTCTCCCCAACACCAACTACACTGCATCAGCAACACTCCGGGTCTGTTTCTTGTTTGTGCCTGAGGCAGAGAAAAGAGTATTATTTCCATCCTAAATGAGATGTGTTTGATTTTGTGCAAAATAGGGTCCAGATTCACATTACGGGACACGAGGACTTGCTAAGGTCAGTGTTGACACACCATCAGAAGGCAAGATAACTTTCCAGTTCTTCAATGGAATTGGGAACAACAATGGAACATGCGTTCAGGATGGACAGATCCCAGAAATTGTGTTCTATGTGTGATTTCTTGAATCTTGCAAATAGGCATTGTATTCCTGTGTATGCATGCATCTTTATCTTGCCCATCCCAATCTTTCATCTCTATCAATTTAATATATAAATTGCTCTATGTATTTTTTTTTCATTCAATAGTCTGGTTGTAGAAGGATATTCCTTTATACCCATCCCAAATAGCAAATATGGGATTGTAGCAGACAGATGTAGATAGCCATGAACATGCAAAGAGACAAGGTGCCAATCATCACAATAATCTTGATCAAGAGACTAGAAGTTCGTCAAGGGTTTGCTCGTAGTTGCAGTGGGTTCGCTGCAATGCCTCCAAAATCCTTGCCTCTTCAAAGCCCAGATCTCTGAACCGAGTGAACAACTGAAGCTTTTCACAAGCATCCTTGGAATTCCCATGACAGCAGAGAAGCATCTTATCTATCACGGATTCTGGGTACCCTTGCTCTTTCAAGCATTCAGCTTCCAAGAGATGTTCCACCACCTACACAAAAGAATGTGACCAAACTTACCATTTGCAAATAAGAAGTATCATTTGATTGGTTATGCACACTCACTTTTTTCTCATCATGGTGCAAGAGGCCAAAAAGATGAGCCACACGAGGCAGAGAGAAACCCATCTCAGCTATGTGCCTTGCTTTTTCCTTTTCTTGTCTGGAAAGCGCATTTAGATATACATCTTCTTCAGTGGGCTTCCGCTTCCTATCAGATGGAAGTGAAGGCCACTCCTGAAACAGGATCAATATGTAGACCACCATTATATTCAGTTCATGGATGCTAGGTGAAGTGGATATCAGATTTGAATCCAAGCTGAACTGAATCTGAAGAGGATGGAAAAATCAAAACTGAACTGAACCCAAACCCAATTGGACTGAACTCCAACTTGAACTTAAAATTCATTTAAATGTGCAAGTTCAGTTCTTTATTTTCTAAATAAATAAGGGTGACAGGATGCAATCTCATGCCCCTCCTTCAATAGAAATGAAAGGAGTCACAATGATAGCTATTTGGTGACTGTCTTCCAGAACCATGTACACCATTGACATACTTTTGCAGTTAGTATTTGTGGGGAGGGTGGGGCAACATAGGTCACTCTTTTTGTGGGCCTGCAATTTAGGCATTTTATTCCTCTGAAGGAGGTGGAAGGTACTGTGTGTGAAGACACACATTACTTGCACAATCCTCTGTTTCTAAGTTCTCAACCTACAAGTTTTGAGTGATAAAAGTCATATTTTAAAATGAGGCACCAAGGGTCAGTGTCCAAGGTATGATGGGTCATCCCCATAGCTTGTTAAAATGAAATTCAGTCGATCCAAATCTTCACACAAATAAGTCTTTGCACCACAGAAGTTCTTGGATACTGATACACTTCACCCCCAGTTATCTGAAAAAAGTAGGAACATTTAATCTATAATTTGTTTCATATCTAAGGATGTCACAGCTGCCAGTGTTGAACCCTTGATGGTTTTGTGCTTCCTGATTTTAGCATTATTGGGTCAGAAAAGACTGCTAAGGAAATCATGATCTGCATTGACGACTATCAGGAAACTTGCAGGCATTGAATTATCTATCTGAATCCAATCCCAGCAAGAATCATGACTTTCATCAAAAGAAACAAACAGCAAAAATCAAGATGTCACAATTGTCAAAAGAAAACACTGCAGAATAATGTCAACATAATCTGCACTTTGGGTGAGGACTACCTTTTTTCAACTCAATTTTCTTGTCGCCTCAGCTAAAAGATATATAACAGAGAACATGAAGATCAGAGCTGGAAGAGCTATAGACAGGATCTGGTCCATAGCACCCCGTGATCCATGGTGCCCCACCCTTCCCCACTCCTGATCCCTGAATAAATCATAACCTTTTGATACTAGAGAGTATGACATCTAGCTCACCTTCAGCTTTCCTAGCAATGGTTCTTCTACATGACATACATACATACATACTGGAAACAAAAGCAAGCATGTTTCCCTGTTACATCAAGGATGGTCTAGGAGTGCTAGGATGTAAGAGCCACAACACCTCCTGCAATGCAAACTTTTTCAGCTTGCAGACAGCATTGTATGCAAAGCAGATGCAGAACAACTTCAGATAATATATAATGAATGGTTTTTAAAGTATAAAATGCAAACTCTGAGGAATTTACTCACCTGTGCAATCCAGTTGAGACTTTTTATTTCCTACAAAATAGCTTTTACCTTTTACCAATAGCTTCTCCCAATCAAATTGAACTGAAAATTAAACTCAGGCATCCCACATTTGCAGTTAATTGAGCCAAGAGTCCTCTTTAACTAAAGCAAATACAATGTAATGAATGTTCCTAAACTCAAACTGAAGTTTAATATTTAGGGTTAATTCAATTTCTAATGTGCCAAACAGAGACATGCTCTATGTTCTTACCACTGAGAGTTGAGCAGGAAATACAGTGACAGGAGAATAGGCAGATAGGGACTGAGAAGGTAAGTCAATTGCTTGCTGCAAGTCTGGAACGCTTTTGCTTCGAACTGAGGGCATCACTCTATCACATGGAATCATAGCATCACCAATATCACTGTAAGCATTCTTGCTTTCAAAGCCTGCTATGTACTGGGGTGGAAAGCTAGGTTCCTTGCTCTTTGGGAGAGAGCGAGACAGGTTTGGGAATGATGTAGTTGGGAATGGCACAAAGCCATTGGGAACAGGAGCAACACTGGGAACAGGATGCCGACACTGTACACTTTGAAGCACTGATGCTAATTCTTGCAAATCATTCATACTCTTCAATTCAAGTTGATCAAAGGGACTGGCACCATCATCTTCAAAGTCCAATGGGTTCACTGTGGATATTCCTCCTTTTGCTGAGGAATAGTCTTTGCACTCATTGTTCTCTTTTAGTGTTTTTGAGACCTCTGCTCGATAAGGAACTAGCATTGCTATGGGTTCATTGCATGGTCCCTTCTCTTCATCAGGGACAGGCAAGATACTGGTGCTTCTGTTGTCTTCACTAGGCCTATCGTGCCCATCATACTTTCTTCCCCCCTCCTCTTCTTCCTTTCTCTCTTCTTGTGCTTTCTCCCTCTCCTCTTTGGCTTCCTTTTCCAGCCGTCTTCTAGCTGCATCGGCTAGGACTCTCTCCTCCGCGGAGAAATCATACTGTGGACATGAATATAGGATTTCCAAAGTGGGTTAGGAAAAATATCATTAACTGATTGTAATCAAGCTTAAGTTTACCTCCTCGAAGGGAGCTGGAGAGAGCTGATAGGAGAAGTTTGGAATGGAGATTCTAGGAGGCGGGCGAAATTTCTTTGATATTTTCACTGGGATCCCTTCGACATATTGCGCCATCCCGTATATGAAACATACTCAGCAAAACGCCGAGGTCTTGTCTTCACACTGACAAGGATATTCTTGTCGTCTCACTCCTCTTTATCGTCACCTGTGAGTGGCCATGAATCAGGACTAATATAGAGGCCACCTAACGAAGAAATTGGCAAACATGCAGTAAGCTTTTATACAAACAGATGGCAGACACTGCCTTCTTCGGAGCCTTCATGTAGAATTTATATTATACTCCATAAGTTCTACCCTTCCCTAGAACCGTTGATATGAGTGTTTGCCCAACTTGAGTTCCACACAGCTGCCTTGTTTTCTCCACATGAGCATGAATTATGCGGAATATCTTGTTGTTTTGATTGTTTTGGAGAATATTGTATGTTGACTGAACAAAGACTTCTAAGTAAAACTGGTCTGGGATTCCTTCGTATAATAAAATTAGGTGGATGTGGGATAAGGCCACACGTCTTGTTCAGTTTTCACCAGCTGACCAGACCCCCCCCCCCCTACATGGTTCGCACTATCCTAAGCCGTCATTGTGTTCAGTTCACTCCTCGAGGTGCAGAGAAACTAGGTATTTAAAAAAATATAGACCCTTCGATGCCGTAGTCTTTCCCTGATCCGTTAATCCTATCCGTAACTGTATCCAGACAAAAATTTACGAAATATCTAATAAGCAACGATTACGTACATGCCTGGTTTTACTTTCTAGAAACATTCGCTGGCGTGAACATATAAATTGTTTGTTGCTGTGAAAATCATCTCCCCTCGAGAAAGAAGCCCTTCGGGAATCACTACGCTAGTGCCGCCTAGTCACGCTGGCATCCAGAGGGGTCAGTCATCTCCTCGCATGGGTTTGATTCTCCCGAAGAGCGCTCAGTGGAACTGCGCAAGCAGTACGGAATGAGAAAGCGGGGTCGAAGCACGAGCGGAACACGTGCTCGTTCAATTGCGCCACAACCCAGCGTCGATGGTCCGATTCTCGTCGGACCGACGTCATGTGATGGAATCCCTCCCTCGTAGCTTTCCCAAGAAATGAGTGAAAAATTGATCAGTCACGTGAATCGTGACCATGCTGCAGATACGGTTCATCCGGCCACTCATGCGACCGCGAGAGGAAGCCTTCGGGATTCTCACGATCCTCATCTCCTCGTCGTTTACGTTTGGGTTCACTCTCGTTCAGTTTCCTTTTCGGAGTATTTTCTTTCGTGTTCCCATCCTTTTCAGTCTATTTCCTATTAGAGTTATTCCCAATCTTGTTGTCCCTAATCGCCTGAATTCAGAACTCAGATGCAATTTATACCGCTCCAATCACTCCCTATTGCAACAGGCCCCTTGATTCATGGTTCCAGATTGCAGCTAATATACTAACTCAGATGTTCAGAGATATTGCACAGAACCGCCAAATAGCCTTTCCAAGTACGTCATGGAGAGGACATGAGCTGTCGTTATGGCCTACGATCACGACCGATCACGATTGGAGACTTAGAAAAGAAAAAAAATTATAATACGGCCGATACCGTTATAAATATTTCATTGGAGAGAAATATGCATGCTTCGAGTACCCTGAAAGTAATGGCCTCGTAATGGTAATTTTTATTTTACGTACCGACGGGACACGCGTGAAGGCACCAGAGACTTGGGTCATTGATGCCGGATTATCAGCCGAACGATAATGTCGCCGTTTTGACCCCTGGGTAAATTTCTTTCCGAGGTAACACGACCTCCGATAAATGTATATTTATTTATCCGATAAATTTACCGCATTTATCTAATGATTATGGACTTCGGTCGCAAGTTATTTGCGGATCAATCGCACTTGCAAAAAAATTCCTTCACTCTGCAACATGCTTAACGAATAAGAGAATCCAATATTTGTGGCGCACTTATGGTCCAGGGCCTTGGAATCGAATGAAGGCTGTGGCTAGATATGGACCCTTGCGATCCGAATCGTTACGGCCCCTGCATGGCAACGCAGGCTCGCATCGGGCCGCATATCCTATCTGGCTCGACTCCACGTTTTTATACAAGCGCATCGGGTCCGGCTACGTTCGAAGCGTGGCATGGAGTAGAAGTGCATCCATGACAGCGGCAGTGGGTGATTTATGATACGAGGACCGGAGAGACGAGAACTTGTTTCCTTTTACCGGTTGTCTCTGGAGAAGTTGTGAACCGAGCGAGAGACATTCTGACATTCTCCATTCGCAGAATCATGCAGTGAATTGAGATTCGATTCGTGCGTTTGCGAATTAACTGCCTGAACCTGTAGGTCATTTTTTTTGCTGTAAACCCCATCGAGCCAATTAGAAAAATTGCGAAGGCAGTCGATTCCAAATTGTTTGTAGTAGAGATGAACACACTAGAGAAAATTTATTTGCAGTCAGCTGACTTTAGCATGCAAAAGGAAATTGCGCCTGACTTTTGCTAGCTCCTTCGCTCCGCCCCCTATCCAATCATGGCAGCCGACTGTCTATCTTGTAAGATCATTGCTCTCATCTGTTGAAGGGATGTCATGGAATACTGTCAAGGCCCAACGTTAGACATTACTCCGGAGGCTTAATCTTCCGAAATAATTGGAGATCTCGTAGAGACGAATGAGGGAAAGACGCGAGTCAATTCGGAAAACTTTCTTCTGTGATCTACACTTTACTTGGCCTAAGCCTATGTTTTACAAGCTAGATTTAGCATGGAACAACCAGAGAAGTGAACCCTATGCCTGTATCTAGTACCAGTTCGGCTTGGACCTTGGCATAGGCCTGGGGGCCCAGTTAACTTTCTTGTAGGTGGGAGTTCGGTTCTTATAGTGGTATGCAAAAGAGTAAGAATCCTATGGTTTTTGCTTACATTGACACCAGAGGATGCTCGGTGAGCTTTATTTGCTTTTGGGTTGAATTCATACTGTGTCACTGGAGTTAAGTTCAAGTGGAACGTTACCTCAGTCCACCATGTTCCAGGGAAGAAGCTATAATTATAAACTGTTCTTTTGAGGTTATGATTGCATTTTCTCATGGAAGGTTAGGAATCATTCAGGAAATGTTAAAAAAATATTATCTACAACCTTAGACCATCTGGTTTATTTTTTTTTAGGGAAGGATATAGAAGTGTAACTAAAATCAGGAAGCAACAGTTCTGATGAATGAGATAGGAACCCAAGATGGATCTTAGGAGGAATAGTTATGTACTAATTGTTAAAAAAAAATCCCCCATCAAGTGAATGATTTGTGATGGTTTACAATTTGAGCAACACCGAGGGAATTCATTGAATTGCAAAAGCTCAGTTATGTGCATCAGGCCTATATTACATATCATGTGTTAGTATGAAATGTATGCTGTATGATATTGTAAATGAAGGGCTGAAAGGAAAAGTGATCTACTGACTAAAAGTGCTTGACAAAGTTATTGACAATTTCATGCAAGTAGGCCCGTTTTCCTTTCATTGAAGATTGTAATTCATTAATTTTGTGTTAGTGAAGTTATGGTCTTTATGCATCCAACATTTTCCCATACTCTTCAGGAGAGGGTCACAAGAGTATTCAATAATAATTTAAAAAAACTTGAAAAAATCATTTTTTCTGCCAATAGACCAGTTCTCTCTCTTTAACTCTTCATATGAGATAAGCCAACATTGACTGGTCTTATTATGTATGGAATGTATATTTTATCATGTACGTTTAACTGAAATTATACATTATTATGGTATGGGAAGGGTATTATGGTCCATTTAATAAAATTTCACTAGCAAGTTCTTCATAAAGTATATTACTCTTTCCCATGTTTAATCTGCAAGGATCTGGACCTAGGGCTTAAAGCTCTGTGTAATGATGGCTCAGGCCTAGTCCTGTCCAGAAGACTGATGCCTGATGGCCTTGACTCATCCATGTGGACAGGGTGTTGAGGCTTCCTTGGATTGACAAACTTCAAAAGCTAGGGCCCATCCTGCATGCTATAACTGCAGGCCTTAGCTTAAGTGTGGGCTTACCATTTAGGATTTTTGACAATGGTTGAGGATCAGCGAACATTTGGATATACTCCTGGTGAGAATGCTGAAGAAGTGAGTCATTTACTTTGGACCTTTTCTATGCCAGGCCACAGTCTTTTCAGGTCATCTTTTGTGCTTCTGTTTTTTTCAGGTTCTTCCAACGAAACTCCTCAGACTCAAAGTCGTTGCAGGCCATCACCTTGCCAAAAAGGATATCTTTGGAGCAAGGTGAGATGCAGGCATTAGCTTGGCCACCATAGGAAATTCACAAACTCCCTCCAATGATGGCTTTCTATTCACCATACTCATTCAGGGACTGCTGCTCATATGTCTCTTTCACCTTACAGTGATCCCTATGTGCGGATTGATCTCATGAATGCAGAGAATGATAGCACTGTCGATTCTGTGTCAACAAAGACAAAGCGACGAGTAAGCCACCTCATCAGGGTTCAACTTTTATTGTGCTTATTACATTGACACACATTGACATTATGCCTGATGGAATATTCCCTTACTTTCTCCATTAACCAATTCCTACATTTTTTTGCTTACTTTGTGTATGTGCCAACATGGTCAACCTCAGTCAACTCAGGTAGTACCAGGCCAAAATCAGTATAGGCACAAGCTCTCTGAATTTTCATACAGTGGATTGATGCAGCTTGATATCTTGATCATTTCTCTTGCTCTGTTGCAGACCCTGAACCCCAAGTGGGATGAGGAGTTCATCTTTCGAGTGAGAGTTCTGCCTTTGTCTTGAATGTGCAACATTCCACTGCTGGAATTCATGTACTTAAGGGGTTTATTTTCCTTGTAGGTGTCACCAACAGAGCATAAGTTGGTGCTCCAAGTGTTTGATGAGAACCGCTTGACTCGAGATGATTTTCTTGGTATGATTGACTTGCCTCTGGTCAACATCCCAAAGGAGCGAGAGGGACGGACCATTCCTCATAAGTATTATCTCCTCCGACCACGCAGGTATGTAGCAATCAGGAGGTATAGACCTGTTTTTTCAGTGCTTTACATGAGTGATTCTGTTGTCAAGAGTACTCACATAGTCAGTGCTTGATGTTTTCCCAGTTATTTCTTGTTTTACCAGTGTAACTGCAGTAGAATTTTGTGCTAAAATAAATTTTCACTGAATAGAAATGAATTCTCTGTAGAATGTTTACATATTTGCATTGGAACTCAAATTGATTAGATTCAGGTCTTTTGTCGAAATGTGGAAATTTGAATTTGCCACCTACCCAATTCATATGCAAGGGTGAGGTGTGAGCTGATGTGGTTTCTGCATATATGCTTCTTTCAGTGCTAGATCAAAGGTAAAGGGCCACCTTCAGGTATACCATGGATATCTTCCAAGCACCACTGAAGAAAGAGAGGAAAATCGTGTTGATACTGCTGCTGAGCCTGGTTGGGAAATGGTTGATTCCCCCGAAGGAAGCTCTGAATCCCAGGGTCAAGTGGAAATCCCTGCAGAGGTGAATTTTGGCTTCATACATAAACATGCCCCTATCTTAGGAATGATATTAAGGTTTTTATTATTTTCAGCCTAGTGAAGTCCCAAGTGTGTCCATATCTCAGCCACCTCTCCCTAGCGGCTGGGAAGAAAGGCAGGATGCTAATGGTCGAACATATTATGTGAATCATGTGGCACGTACAACACAGTGGGAGAGGCCCTCTGTGTGAGTTTCACTTTTACCTAATGTGCATAAGAAAAGATCATCAATACAGTGCATGAGTTGGATTTATGGAACAACCAGGAATGATTCGGAGGCAGTGATTGAAGCTGAGAGGGAGCGAAGCTTGGAGTCTGCTCACTCAGATTTCTTCCGGCGTTTTCATATCAGCATTGATGAGTTGGATACCTCCTCCATCCGAGTACACATTCCTGCTACTTCATCAGCTCCCTTAGTTTTGCATGGATGTGTTTGTTTTGCATGCATTCTGTCCTCAATTGCATGACTTCTAGGAGGAGGAGAGTCCTCGTCCTCCCAGGCATTTTATCAGCTCTGATGACTCCCATCTGCCCAATCCAGAATCACATTCTCAAGAATCAGCTTGGGTAGGTCTGCATGCATAAAACTCTGCTCTTTTCAGGGCCTTGCCTGTCATATGTAGCATGCATGAATGGTTTTGTGTTTACTTGATGTTTTGGTTGCCTGACTTTTTGGATGCCTTATGGATCCTATCAAATGGAAAGGTTTCTCTTCAGTTTTTATGCTTGGTGACAGCACTGATTCAGATTAAGGGTCAAGTTTGATCTCTCTACAGTTCCATTTTAATCTCTAGATCACTTGAATGTCTGAGGACTAGGCCTGTATAATATGACAGAATCTGATGAAGGTTGTTTTTTCCTAAGGCTCGATCACATTCAGTGAGGGCTAGTACTACATCTGCTGCCTCTCTATCATCTTCAATGGTGAGTTCTGGAACAGCTTTTTGATTGAGAGATTAGTAACAGGTCTACACCTTCATTACGTAAACACCATCCTTGTGCATACCAAGGACTCCAGGCTTCTATTGGATGGACATTATTCCATCTTGGGATTTGGCTATCATTTTGCTTAGTGGGTTTGCTGAATCAGGATTGGAATGGGAACATGACTGTGAACATAATGGATAGGGGTCAACATCCATTCCCTCTCTGGTATTTATGCCGTAATGGAAGGTTATGGTATGAATGGTGAGAATGGGATGAATTATCCCATTCTCATCCCTGTCCCCTGCCTGCAAAAGAAATTCAGCAACTTCTCAAATGTCTCCTCCAAATATACTAATGATGAATTGCAAATCTCATGATGAACCTCTAAGTGAGTCAGAAGTTGATGAATTTACCCAAAGTGATTTGTGAGTCAAATTGACTTCCCTACCTGCATAAAATCTCCTCTCTGCTTTGCAGTGAATTGAAGTTCAATTCAAGTATTTTTTTGTATTTGCACATCATCTGACCCAGCATCAGCCTACTCAGTGGGCAGATTTTTACAGTTAAATACAAGGACCCTAGCTTTGTTGCATGAATGCACCTTGAATTAGGCACTTTTACTATACTGAAAAAATGTGACATTCAGTCGGCCAAATTGTATATCACCACCTAAATTCTGTATCAGCCTAGAAATCAGAATGGCAGAAACAAGTATATACTTGGGGGAGTATGCACAGTGTTTACATAATGATGGAAATTCCATACTAATATCTATCTTGTGTGTTGTGTGGGAAGTTGCAACTATATTTGCTTTGGTCTGTATTTGATATTTTGAGATCATATAGATAGAAGCTCTACTTCTTCCCTATTTCCATCCCTATTCTCCCTATTTCTGCTGTCTAATTTAGCTAGGTCTGCAGAATGGAACACCTCACAAAATATTAATAGTGTCCAGGGTCTTGTCTTATCCTTTCCACATTGAAAATGTTTTTCTCGCAAAGGGGGAGGAGGGTATTCTCTCTCTTGTGCATATGGCATTCAAAAAAAGCAATAGGAGGGGAAAATTCATAAAATGAGAGCTGTATGTTGAAGTTAGACAGCCAATTGATAATGTCTGGGATTGCTTGGTGGATTGCTTGAAGATCCCACCATGGAGCTCCCAGGCTTCTTTCTAAAGCAGAGATACTGGACCACCCTCAACTGTATTTAGACAACGCATGACAGATGCAGCCACTTACTACATAAATGGGAAATCAGGGATTCACCTAACTGTGAATGTGGCAACGTATAGACTATGAGTCACATCGCCGACCATTGTCCAATTTACGCATTTCCTGGAAGGAGGGTATTGATGTGTAGTTTATATGAAATGTTAACACCAGTGATGAGTGTGGTGATGAATGATTATGCAGGAGGGGAGTGGAGGTGATGAACTGGGGGAGCTGCCATCTGGCTGGAGTCGTCAGCTTGCTCCCAATGGAAGGACATTCTTCATTGATCATAACAAAAAGAAGACAACCTGGGTTGATCCACGAACTGGTCGAGCATCCCCACTCCCCAATCAGGCCAATGTCCCACAAAAGAGGTACTGTATATGTGTGAGGCTGCCTCACTGTACCTAGGAACCTGATTGCAATATGTGCATGTTATGAAAGCAGATCCTTGGAAGACAGTCTGGGTCCACTGCCTGAGGGCTGGGAGGAACGTGTTCACAGTGATGGTCGCATCTTCTTCATTGATCATAGTGAGATCTCTTCCTTTTCAGTATTCATGTTTCTTGCCCTGATCACAAACTGTCTTGAGTAGTTAAATCAGTTAGACTTTTTAGTTTGTGCCAAAAGGAAAATGGAGTCCTTTTAATATTTTTGAGCTAAAAACATGATGAATGCAGCCTCTAGGGAGTGGTCAGCTCATAGGGTAAAAGCTAAAATAGTTATATTGCACTCAATTTGGTAGCCTTTTCACTACCCATATTGAGGAGTAGGGATGTTACCAGTAGGAATATTTACCAGTATGTGATGAGTTGATATTCATCAATAGAAGTCTAATGAAGCCAATACCAATAAATTGAATTTACAGTTTTTTTTAAATTGTATGTTGTAAAATACTGTAAAAGGTGACATTTAAATGTTGTTTTCATGAAGATGATTGCATTTAGTCCTGAGAACCATATAATGATATGTGGAGATGAAGATTGGGTCTTGAGTGGGAGCAGTGTTTCCCATTAGGTTGATGTATTAAAGGCCAGTAAGACTGTCAACTTGAAGACAATGGCCAATTTGTGAAACTTTTTATACCTCAGCTCAGGGAAAATATCAAGATCATTCAACTCTTGAGTACATACAGGGTGGGGCAGGTAAATTGGGAAAAACTATAATGGAAATTAAAAAGACATGTTTTGCAAGCAAAAATCAATATATTGAAATGAAAATTGGCACAGAAGCAGTTCAAATGATACAGTTTCGAATTATTCAATGTAGTCTCCATTGTTGGCGACGACAGACTCGAGGCGAGTGCGGAAGGAAGCACAGGCCTTGGCGACGATGGCCTTGTCCATTTGGGTCATCACCTTGTGAACCGCATCCTTGACTGACTGGATGGTGTTGTGGGGGACTTTATTAACATCTCTCTCAACAACTGAGTGCGGAAGGAAGCACAGGCCTTGGCGACGATGGCCTTGTCCATTTGGGTCATCACCTTGTGAACCGCATCCTTGACTGACTGGATGGTGTTGTGGGGGACTTTATTAACATCTCTCTCAACAACGCCCCACACATAGTAGTCGAGGGGGTTGCAGTCTGGGGAGTTGGGGGGCCAAAGGTCAGGACCCCAGTGGCTGGGGACGTTAAGCGTCAGCCATGCCTGTGTCTTCTTGGCCTTGTGGGCTGGAGCTGAGTCCTGTTGGAAGACATACTTCCTACCTGCAGCCACCATGCCCATCCAAGGCTTCACGACGGTCTCCAGGACATTGATGTATCAACAACGCCCCACACATAGTAGTCGAGGGGGTTGCAGTCTGGGGAGTTGGGGGGCCAAAGGTCAGGACCCCATTGGCTGGGGATGTTAAGCATCAGCCATGCCTGTGTCTTCTTGGCCTTGTGGGCTGGAGCTGAGTCCTGTTGGAAGACATACTTCCTACCTGCAGCCACCATGCCCAACCAAGGCTTCACGACGGTCTCCAGGACATTGATATACTGTATGTCTTCCAACAGTGAATGGACAGTGCGTGCATTTTCCTCTCAATTGGCATAGATCCCAAAAAAAAATACATTTCAAACTGTTGGTGAGGGAGCAGATATTGTAAAGGAGTCTGAATTTGTATCACCTACCCTATATGGGTATATATCCCTGAGTCACTGTTCCTCTAAACCTAATTGAAATTTTGCCAGTACTTTTTGAGAACTCCACTGGGCATGGCTATTTTGACATAATACAAATGGTGGTCTTTTGACTTCGGCAGCTATGATTCTACCCTGTGCACACCTTGACTAGCCCAAGATCCATTTATGTGGTAGCTTTTGGAGTACTTAAGCCATATGATTAACAGATGAGGACTATCTGATATTATTGACTTTAACATATTTAACTTTTGATTTTGCATGAGCTGTTTCTTTTGAGCAGTATGATTAAACTATAAAGTCCTGTTATTCAAGGAGTCATGTATGTTGGTTCCTTTCTATTGTATGTCCAATGCTCATACCTTCAATTATTTGTTTTATGAGTTCCACCTTTAGAATCATCATTAAAAATCCACCTGTGACCCTAGAGATCACAGGTGGATTGATGACATAAATTTTGACCAAATTTAGTATGTGCCACTCCTGCAGAAATGAACAATTCCTGGATCATTTATCCAATGACTAAAGTGTATGACCACAGATCAAGGGCATCAGGCAACTATGAGCTTCATTGCAATCCTTTCCATCCCAGCTAATGGAAAGGTTTGATTCTGCTATTATATTCTAAAGGATATATGTTTTGTGTTTATCATTTAGGAACCTCTGGGACTATTTTGGCTCATGGACCTACAGTAAAACCTCTGATAGCTTATACTGCTGTAACTTATAACCTCCACTACCTTATAGCAGTGTTTGGCCCCAAGCATATAAGCTAAGGCAGGTTTTACTGTATATGTTTTCAGCTCAGCATTGGCCTTATGGTTAGTCACTTTCTGTTAAGACATGTCTTCAGTGCTTCATAGCTTCTTGCAATACAATGATACAACTGTCATGCATACATGTTGTAGCCCTTTCCTTTCTCTGTTGATTGAGCTGTTGAATCTTGCTCCTGTCCCAAACTTTAGGCATTGGAAGTATAGATGGTCAGCAAAAATCTTGACCTCCAAATTGTGATTGTGCTGCAAGGGAAAGCTCAGCTGAAATGCAATGGTGCACATGTTAGCTACCTATAAGAACTGTAGAAGAGGAGTTATGAATGTTTTTATTTTTATTTCCATGAGGTCTCATGTTTTTTAATTGTCCAAGACTGTCTTCATTGTGTAAAAATGTTCCATCTGTCTCTTTCCTCTTTTATCCTTTAGTCTTTAGATGACCTATCAAAGGCCAAATGTACACAAATCGCTTTGACTTCTTGCCTCTCACTGCCCCATCCATTAAATAATTTGTCCTCAACCAAGTATTTTGCTGCCAAATAGATGATTAGATCACTGCTGAACTGGATATTTATAAGGACCTTATGAAAATCATGGTCACCCATGACTTTTATTAGGTCTTCAGTAATATCCTTGACTGGACAGTTCAGCAGTGATTGTACTTTGATGTATGCATGTCTCTCAAGGTCAGAAAATGGCAAGTTTTCCCAGTGGTATTTACATGGGTCACTCCCAGAGGTCATATCCATGAGAAATATCTGTTTTAAAAATTCCTAATTAGTTCCAAATGCATATTAAAAAACGGGCTTTCAGATGCCATTGCTAACATTTCCCTCAGGTAAGGGATCTCAAAGTAACAAAGGTGTTCCTGGAACTTATTGACTGCCCTTCTTATTGTGACTATTTGCAGATTTCCTTTGAATCCATGTTCTTGCTTTCTAAGCATGTATTTGGAGGGAGGCACTCTGGTGTGTCTATAGACAATAAAAGTACCTCGGATGTTATCTTTATCATCTTGGTCTGGTGCCTTGAGATATGCAATGCAGAGTTTGAGAGGTATTGTTTCCAGGCCGAGACCATACTGCAATGTGGCCATCTCTTAATACATGTAGCCATTCCTTACTGTATGGCTAGACAGGACCTACTAGACCCGAAGACAAAAGAAATATCAACAAGGACCCTATCAGACCTATAGATGAAGACAGTCTTGGACAGTTAAAATACATGAAATCCCTCTATGTTCAACTCAAAATGTTGGTATTTCTTACAGTAGCCAAAAGAATAGTTGAGTCTAACATCAGATCTGATTTATTGCATGTGAAGTATATGGAAACAGCAAATTTTTTGTGTGAAACCATCCCCACATATAGGCAAAAAAGGCACAAGCCACTCAATTGGAGTTTTTGTCATCCTTATGCAACACCTCTGTCTAATTCATGGAATTTTCTGTAGTTCTTGAGTGTAGTTAACGTATGCACCAATGTATTTCTTCTGAGCTTTCCATTGCAGGACAAAATCACAATTTGGTCAGGATTTTTGCTGACCATCTGTACTTTCAATGCCTAAAGCTTGGGACAGGAGCAAGAGCCAACGTGGTTTCATAGCTCATTTAACAGAAAGGAAAGGGCTACAACTTGTATGCATGGCAGTTATATCATTGTGTTGCAAGAAGCTATGAAGCACTTACATATCTTAATGAATAGTGACTAACCATAAGGCCAATGCTGAGCTAAACACAAAGATCCATGAGCCAAAACAGTCCCAAAGGTTCCTAAATGATAAGCACAAAACATCCTTTAGAATACAGGATGATCATGAAGTCCCAATCTATTTTGTTGAAAAACTCAAAATTCTTACAAAAATGCACAATGTGTGCTTCACATTATCAATAATGAACTGGTGTAACTGGTGAAAAACTGGTGTTTTAAACTGGTGAAAGTAAATAAAAAATCAGTTATTAACATTTTTTTTTACATGATCACCTTCCAAATCGATACATAGCTGCCATCGATCTGTTGCTTTCCCTGAAAATTCAGGATGTTCAACGTCAGGGGTTATGTTGTTAGCAGCATAGATACGATCTTTTAAGTCTTCAATATTGAGAACCTTTTTGCTGTAAACCTTTGACTTATATCCCCTTGCAAAAAAGTCCAAGAGAGTTAGGTCAGGGGATCTTAAAGCCCAAATTTCATTTTGTGAATATTGCTTGAGATTATCTAAAGAGAAGTTTCCGAACTGTTGGATTGATTGAGGGTCAAACGGAATGTTGACTTCAATATAACCTGACCTAACCCCTTGGACTTTTTTTGTATGGGGTACATTAGGTCAAAGGTTTATAGCACAAAGGTTCTCAATATTGAAGATTTAAGAGATCGTATCTATGCTGCTGTTAACACTGTAACCCCTGACACGCTGAACAATTTGAATGTTCAGGGAAAGCAACAGATCGATTGCAGTTATATATAAATTTGGAAGGAGGTCATGTGGAACTTCACAAAATAAAAGTTAATAACTGATTTTTAATTTACTATTACCAGTTTAATTCAGTTCATTATTGACAATGTGAAGTGCACATTATGTAAGAATTTTGAGTTTTTCAATAAAATAGATTGGGACTTCATATGACCACCCTGTATAATAGCAAAATCAAACCTTTCTGTTGGTTGGGATAGGAAGGATTGCAATGAAACTCATAGTTGCCTGATGCCCTGGACCTGTGATGATTGGGGTAATACCCTTCAGTCATTGGATGGGTCAATGAATTGGGGTTTTTTAGCATCTCCATGAATGAAACTTTCATAAGTCAAATTTAATTAAATCTATAGTTTGTCAACCATCATACTTTGTGTCACTTTCCTAGGGACTGGCTCTTGGGAATGTTTCCACCTCTGAGCAATTGATGATGTGCATTTTCTTTGTAGATTATCATTTGGGCAAACAGTCTCATGCATCTTCAGAGGAGATTCTTAATCTTGTGATTAAACTCTTGGATGGGATGAATAACACTAGTGTTTTAGGCTCCCATTGATATGGATCCCTTTCATATTCTTTTCATCTGCATATAGACAGCTTCAAAAATTTGTTTAATTTAGACTGAGGTGACCAATCATCTCTTACACCAATAGTGTTTTTTTTTTTTCAGTGATAGCATATATTGACATTTCATCTCAATTAGAAGGTTGAGATGCATGGTGAGATTGTTTTTCATTCCTATTTTGCTGCTTTGGTTGAGTGTTCCTCAATTGAGGAGAGTTATCTGAAAAGGGGCATAAGTCCCCAAATGCCCTTTTTCAATATCTTTGTCCATGCGCTGCTTCAAGTGACTTGTCTTGGGATGGGGTCAGGGCTTGTGTTTATGCGCTGTTGTGTGTCCTATACGCACAAAAGAAAAACATCGGGGTCCCAGAGATGTGCAGGAAAGTTCTAGATTTTCTGACTGGTTTTCAGACCAGTTGTCAGTTGCCTCTTGGACTGTGCCTAAATAAACCTTATTGGTGACAGGAAGTCCTTGCCGAGGAAGGTGCGCAACGTGAAAGTGATGAGAGCAGTGCATGGTGCATTGTGTTCATGCGCTCATGACGTATTTCCATTCGTTTCAATTAAGACTTCAGGGTGGTTTGGGCCAACACTCCTCTTGTTCAGTTACAAGCGAAAAATGTATGACGCTAGTTTATTCAAATCGCACGTTGGCGTGCATTCAGATGTTCCTGAACATGGGCCTAGTGACACATAAAGAAAGGTATCAACAGTGTAAGTATAAGTTCTAAATGAAGGTGATGTCATTGTTCCACTTAGGGTGCACAGAGAAGGGAAGATTGCTGTAGGCATTGACCTAGTCAAACTGAAGGGACTGAGAAGGGAAAGAGCTGGACGTGGGCAATTATGAAAAGGGCAGCTTGTAAACCATGAATCACAATGAAGGAAAAAAGATTTTAAAAATGGAAAAAGGTGTGGGTCAAATTGTATTCCTGGCTTTCCTATAGAGACAGAAGAGCTTCCTGTGATTTCTGCTCAAATGCAAATAAAAAAAAATTCCTGCTCAGCATCTGGCAGTCGTAATATGCAGAAGTTTGTAATTTGCAAATTTGATGATGCCCTAAGGATGTTTGTTAAAGAGAAAATGTTGGAAATAGTCCTAAGGCTGCTGGATTGAATATCATGCTTTTGGTCATGTTAAATCAAAGAAAAAACATTGACTGGGATTTGAAACTTTTTGTGCAAATTTGCCCGATTTCATCACGCTTCAATTGCGATGGGACCCCCAAGTTTTTCTGAGTGACCCTTTCTTATAAGTATTGAGAGAGTCCTGGAGACCCTTAAGGCAAGAAAATTAGTGCAAGCCCTGATAGGGTGGTCAGCAGTTAGTTAAGATGCATATTCGGCAAAGGATAAGCAGATTTTCCTATGCTTTTGCTTTAGGGCAGGCCCACAGCCTGACAATTTTAATATGGCTGCCTCCATGAATATTCCATTGACACCTGCATCACTGAATGATTTTGGTGGAATAATTCCATTCTTTTGAACTGAAAGTGGAAACAAGGAAAAAACCAGACAGGAGGAAAGAGGAAAAAAGAGGACCAGTCATCCAAGCCTCCGGAAGGATGCAAGAAGTTTCAGATTCGGATGGTAAATAAATTAATAATGGATCACTGATGAGTAATTAATGAATGAAACTCGTCCTGAATATTCACATTTGTATTGTTACTCTTTGAGGAAGAGATGATTTGAAATTTCTAGATGTATTTATTGGTAAAATATGATTTTTAACTGGAAAGAGGTGGTGGAAGACTGGCTGGAAAAAATTACATCAGCGCTAATATGGAAATAGGGCATATGTGCATAAACACTTTCTGCCTACATCCCAGCAATGTGAGGTAAAGAAATTCGTTAAAACTCCAAGTTCAATTGGAAAAGGTCTAAGATACCATTTGACTGAAAACTGAGTTTTGACCACCTGCAGATTAGCTATGGGGAGTTTTTGCAGTTTATCTCGAATGGCATCTTTTGCTCATATGCCTTTTTTCCAGAGAACTCCTCAATTTTTCTCAACCAATATTTATTGCAAGATGCATCTAAAGTTAGGCAAAATTTCCAGTTATATTATTGCCTAATGCATTAATATTTGCTGAAAGACACTATGACAGCAATGACACTTAGTCATATATGCTTGTTAATATATTTTCTGAAGGTACTTTATTCTGAGGTTATGGCTTTTCTGAAATGGAATGCTTGGTGTGGCTGTTTGAGGGTGTTTTCCAAGTTGAAGGTTTGTTATACAGGGTGGCCCAGAAGTAATAGGGCAGTTAGTGGTACAATCAGCAGTCACTACAATTTTATTTTAATTTTATTTTTTATTTGATTATTAGTTGATTTTAATTTTAATTTCAGAATCACTAAGTATTAAGTTTTGCAAATAAAAATTGTAGTAATAAAAATTGCTGATTGTACCACTAACTACCCTATTACTTTTGGGCCACCCTGTATCTTGAGATTCTTTAAAATTGCACCAGAAATTGATGTAAATCCATATGTCACTATGCTACCTTAGGACACTAGAAGCTGTAAGATGTTTTCAAAAGTGAAAGATATTCTTGTTTTAATTCATGAGAACAATATCAGCCTTTCACAAAGTAAACCTCAAAAGGATAATATCTTCAGAAAATTTTTCTAGAATGCCAAAGATGGAAGAGAATTCTAATTAGTAATACCTGCATTTGATGTGAAAACTAGATAGCCAGATTATGTGTCTATATACATTCCACATTGAATTTTTTTTGTAGAAAAGGAGAAATTCTCCCCCAAATCAAGCTATAAGCAGTAGTCATTTAATTCTGAGATCAGGGCCATACTTTCACAATGTGTCACGCAGTGGTAGTATAGTTGCATGGAATATAAACATACAACCTTGATACATGTCTGAATGCCCATTGCACAACATTACTTTGCAGTGTTGCATCAGCCCCAAGTTGCTCTGACATGCTTTTTGTTCGTTGTTGCAATGGACATTTTATTAGAGATTGAGCGATGTTATGGAATTAGCTGTTCTGTGAGGCATGGATTGACTTTGACTTGCACTTTAGCCAACATGGCACCTGTGTAAGGAGATGATGATCCAACAAAAGCAACTGTTTTTGTGGCATAAGCACTTTTGGGGAGGATGCCACTTAGTTGCTGGTGGATCCACACTTATGCCAGCCATCAACATCCACCTTGCAAGATGGTGGTTTGTCCCAAGGAATCAATTCATCAGTCCATGAGCATCATCACTTATTCTTTGGTGATCTGTCATCAATGTTGTACAACCTCTGTCAGTAGTGTGGATGCAATCCCTGGGATTTTGATTGACAATCATCGACATACATGAGTGCCATGTCAACTAGAGTGTGTTGAAGTCTATCTGCACCTTGACTAATAACTACCTCACAGCATTGTTCAATATCTAAGGGAATACCCATCATAATACTAAAAAAAAACTTGTCTGGGGAAGATTTGGTTTTATGCAACACTGCAGTATTTTGTGTAATGAACATTGAGATATTTAATGAGACATGTGACATTGTAGTTGTATGCTGCCAGTCTATGCAACACTATTGCCACTGCATGACTCGTGGAACTACAGCCCTAGTCTTGGAATTAAATGAACAGTCCTCATAGATTTCCAGTTCCATAGTTCACCAAGTCCCTCTGGATTATTATCACAGGATTTAATTTCACTAAAATTGATATGATTTCCATATTATAAGATCAAGTGGTTCATTTCAACTACTGGTTCCTTGAAGCTCAAATACTTCATAGCATCTGAAAGGACAAGCCCTCAATCCCTCAATGTCTTGATTGTCCATGGGTCTGTAACCCTCATTGTCAAAGTTAGCCATTCATTAGCAATTCATGCCTCAGCCAAAACAGCCTCCTGAATGCTGTCAATAATGCTAATGAATAATATTTTATATTATGTTATATGTTTTGTTCAGTTTTTTCCTGTTGAGGCCTGTAGGTCCATAAATAATAATACATTTTAGGGTTGCAGTTTATATCTGTTATACCCCCTGGTCCTCTGAATGAGGATTTGCTTGTATCATGTATCAGGGGCAATTACATTCAGTGGTAGGGCTCAGAATAACAAAAAGTGCATTTGAAGAAAAAGGTGCCTTCATGTTTTCTCTTGTGACAAGGGTCTGTCCAAGGAACTCTCTGTATAATTAAATAAAGTATTTTCCTTTTCTTTTTTTTAGCTTCTGTGAATTACAAAATGAATACTTTCTTTTGCATTGATGTTCTGGTGATGATGATATGTACTATATATAGATCTCAGATTTACTTGGGATAAGTTCTTGAGATTTTCTGTGGATTGCATTTATCATGCTGGCAATGTATTTGTCCTGTGAAAAGCATTTATTTTTATTTGTTGCTTGGTCACTATTTTCTGCAAGGAGATCTATTTTTACCATATTACCTCAACAGTTATGGGATATTACTTATTTAACTTTGTCATTTAGTTTTTTTTACATTTCTGCTTTGTTATTTATGTCCTCCAGTATTCCCATACTGAGTGAAATAAAATCTGTTGCAGGTGTCAAATTCTCTTAAGTTTTTTTTTTTCAATGCTATTAGCAGTATGACCTTATTTTTTTAAAACTTAAGTCCAATGAGCATAAACCTATTTTATGTCACATAAAAATGTAATTACTTAAAGTCTTTCTTTATGTCTGTAAACTTTGAAGTGTTTGAATACCCTTGAGGAAAAAATGTTTCAAGCCTTGTAGCATGCCAGATATGAATAAAATATATCCTCTATCTAGCCAGAAATCCTAATGAATATTTTCACCTGGTACAAAATGTACTATCTGCTTGTACTGACAAGATATGTGCTACTATTTTAATTTGTGTGTAATCTGAGTTCATCAGGTGGATCTTGGTACCCAAAATATTCGAGGATGGTCTCAGAAAATTGATTTTTTCCTGTATTGCATGAAAAATTTAAAATTAATGCTATAAAATAAAACATTGTGAAAATATAGTGATCTTGTCATAGGACTTTCCTTACATCTGAAAGATTGTGATGGATTATTGTTCTGGCATGAAAGAAATAACAATAAAAAGTGGGGTAAAATTCTTTGCACAGAACATCAAGATTTGTCTTTCTTGTGCCTCATATGTCTGGATATTTTTACAGCATATACCATGGGATCTGATTCCTTACCTCACAAATTTTCGCCATTACTAATAAAATTGCCATTTTGACTCATTGTTTGCCTGCACCTTGAATGTTGAAATCAAACAATATTTTTTTATTTGTATCAGTTATTAGTTATTGGACAGTATCAGGAAAATCCTACACATCTGACTGACATGATGTGATAGACTGAGATGCATAAATATTAACCTTATCACCATGACCTGGGATCCAGGCAGACCCCAGTCCTGTTTTTATGTTATTCTGCAAAAAAGCTATTTTACCCTGGGTCTTAATTTTCAGTGACAACTCTTGCTAGTGTGTTTCAAAGAGTGTGCTAATAATACAAAAAAAATAGTACCATATAGAATAAATCTCTGTGCTCAAACTGTTACTCTCCATGCTGTATAGAAAGTTTTTTGTGACACATGAGGAAATATGTTGTGAGAAGTAATGAATGAAAAATTAGTGCAAAAAGGTCAAATTTGACAAAATAACTAAATGAGGAAAAAAGGAGGAATTATGGAGCATGTCACACATCTACTATCTGTTGCTATGTTCAGTAAACAAAATATTTAAAATATATATAAATTAGCATGAAAAAGTGTCCCAAAATAGTTATTTTTAAATATTAACTTTTGCTGGCAACACATTGAAAAACCAGGTCTGAGCAGACATACCTCACTACACAGTGATCACATAGTGGGGTCTGAGCAAACCCCTGGCCATAGCAGGGTGGTCATACTGCAGGTCACAATGATAGGGTTAATATCCCATACTGTATGGATGACAGGGCCCTAGACTCAGGAGAATTGGGGACCATAGTGGAAGAAGATACCAGTGTATGAAGATAGCACAAATAAGACTTGTTCCCTGACTCTACTCTCTCTTCCTCATTTATTTTACTCCCCAAGGGTCAGATTATTGGGAACATCCAATCAAATACTAAGGAGGAATCATATGAAAATATAAGTGTATGATCATATAAAATGCAGATGCAAAAATTATCTGAAGATGTGTCTTGGGGCTCTATTAAGAAATGCATTTAACATGTTCATTGCATTTCAAGGCTTATGATTGTGCTTACATTTGGTATCTCATAATGCAGCTATTTTGCAAGACTTTGGAGACTGTTGCCTCAAAATGCAAATGAACGTGTGAAAGAGATTGGGTGAGAAAAGTCACTGAAAGTCATCTGTAGAATGGAATGATGTGGGTTCTTATTACCAAAGAGGGGGAAAGGGGTTCATGGTATGCTTTCCAAGGTCTCATCCAGCTGTTTTGAAGATGAATTTAATCCATATTATTTTAAGTTGACTATTGAAATTATCAGGTCAAGGAGAAACCACTGGTATGAGTTATCACTATCCTGAAAGTTCTAGGTTTCAATTATGACCCTCATGCTCAATATTGAGGTTTGGATTCTTGTGCATTGCTATATTCTCATTCTTGTGTTTTATCAGAAAAATTGGGCCTGTCATGAGTAATGCAGCTAACTATTGGTTAAATCCTGATCTTGTGGATGTGCCTTCATCTTATTAGGCTAAGGCATAATTATGATTAACCTTTAATGTAGGGGTAGACACATAATAAGTTATGCAAAGATCAGGTATTGGCCTGAATTCAGTTTCATTGCATCTTCACTAAAATTTAACTCTGAATTTTTAAAAGGATGTTCGGGGCTGACCTTGTCTTCAGAGGTTCAGGGGAGCCATCACTAATAAATAAAAAGCCAAATAAGTGCCTGGAAGCCTGAACCCTCAAGATGGCTGTAAGATCCGTGGCAGGGAATCCTACATACCTTGGAGAATTTCTTTTGTGTATGTCTGAGAGTCCTAGGCAATTTGCCTTTATTCATGTGAAATGTATTATTTCAATGATCTCATAACAAGGTATCTACAGTTTAGTTGTCTTCTTGTATGAATAGTATTTTCCATCCTTTTGTATGTGGTGGCCATATCAAAGAAAAACAGGATTCATTCTTCGAAAATGTGGACTTCAGCATTTTAACTGCCCAACACAATTTTTGGTTATGGGAATTGTCATCCCCCAGAGGCTAAATGACTTACTGGATAAACCACTTGTCCAATTGCATTCACCTCTTCACTACAATGATGTTCATGAGCTCCTTCTGTCTCCACAGTTGTAGTTCTAATGAGTCCTCAAACCATGCAGAGGATGTCAGAATTTTTAGACTTAGGTCACAGTACAAGCATGAATGCTGTATACTGTAACCACAAAAACACAGGACATATAAGAGTGTATTTGGCCTACAACCTGTCAACAGGTTGTATGGCAGTCAAAGTGTCAGAATTGTTTTGAATTAGAGATAAGGTGTACTCATGGTGAGACAGTCATTAACTTTAGCAGTGGCAGCTTTTGCATTTTTTTAAATTATTACCAAATGATAGAGGATCCATTTCTTCTAAAACTGGAGCAGCATGAAACGTGCCTGTTCTGCCACATAAAATTTTAGATTGGATTTTTGAACAAAGAACTATCTGATTATGCAGCTTTGTTTCTGGGAAACAAAGCCACCCATAGTTTTATGTGGTTGGATATCAATGGAAAACATGCTGAAGCACTGTCTGCCTTTATTCCAAGTTAGAGTCAGAGGAATTAGTTCTGTCATGCAAAAATGAAATGAGGAAAGATGTGACATCATTCTGGGACCTGAAGTATGAACACACAGGTAAAATAAATACTTATCTCAAATTCACATTTTTAAATATTGCCCAAAGATGGATGCCTTGTATATCACTCCAGGGGGAAAACACCTCAATTTTTGGGGGGGAATTTGACATCCTGGTCACTTCATACCCTATAAATTAATGAAATTGAGATAGACAAAAAAAGTGCATCTGAGACAGTCAACATAAAGCTAAGCATTTTCTGTTCTCTTGCAGGTTTTTGAAAGCTATCAAGTTCTTACACACTCTTGAGGAATTATTGATCATTGCATTGTCTATTTTTGCATTTTATTTGTTTGACTTTTTTTTAAATGTTTGTCAAAACCAAAGAGTAACAATGGAATTCTTGCAAATGCAGTATAACTGGAAAAGGAATGTCTGCACCATGTAAATATCTTTCTGAATGATATGAAATACTTTTTTCTGAAAATGCATCTCCTTCTTTAGGGATATCCCTTCTTTCTCATCATTTCACAATTATATGTATTGTGCTCATATGAGGATATGTAGGAGATGACAATTTTCAGAATCTTGTTGATAGTCTCCTTATAGCTCTTTGATAAGAACAGTCTTTCTTCCCTGAACCCTGTGTGCTTCATATACTTTATTTTTTTTACAAGGAGTAGTTCATTTGAATAGTTTTTGCAATCTCTTGAAATTCATTTGTTCTGAAGGATCACATAAAAGACAATATGATGGCTTCAATCATCACTTTCTTTCTTTTATTTTGTATTTACCCACCTTTAATAAACAAGATCAATATAAGCATAAAAGTTCATTCTTTTACAATCGCTTCATCTTGAGTTCCCCTTCTATATGTTTTATTTTTTCTTCATGGAGGTGTCTTGCTACTCTTTACAAGCATTTGGGAGCATGCCCATGAAGGGTTTCAGTGTCAAAATGATCTGTATGTCTGCACTGAGCTAACCAAACTGGGAAGAGTGCTTTTCAGCAAAAATTGAACCTGACAAGTCTTCCAACATTTGGAAGTTTGCTCTAAGTTCCATGAAAGTTGTAATTTTTTCAGAGTAGTTTGTAATATTTGAAAAAGTTGCTGTATGACAGCTATAATGATGAAAAACTTGTGAAGTATGAGACCATAGCAAGCTGAAATTTTATGCCTATATTTCATTCTAGTTCTGAACTTGCTATTCATTTATATATATATATATTTACCTTGCATAAATGCCTGCTATTTCTCACAGACATTTTGGCACAAAATTTGCATTTTTATTACTGTTTGAATTACAAGAAAATGGGAAAGAGCAAAACCATGCTGCCAGGAACAGAAGGCTGTGAGTTATATACTGATGATTGTGGTGATACTGTGATGAAAGTGAGAATGAAGGAGCCAATCTCCAAGTGTCCCTTGTGCTATTGTGACTTACCATCCCATGATGATGCTAGCCACAGCCATGAAAGCGTAGCTTTTGTTCAAGTCTTTCTCAATAGCTTCTTTGTTCATTTTATGCCTAAATCCCTATCGGTAGAATTATCTGAGCTTGCAGCTGATCCTTGCAGTTCTAAAGTCAGATGTGAAGCCCTTACAAGACCAAGTTGTGCTTATAAACACCCCCAGCCTATTGTTACTCGTTCGAAGATAAGGTCCCACAAGGTGAGGTAATTTCCATCTTGCCCATCTTCTGTTTAGTTTTAGGAATAGGCCTAGTCCAAGGAGAGAGGAAAAATTGGGATATCAAGGTCTATATTATATCACCTCATATTCCTGATACCTTATATTTCAATATTGGTACCGGTACAAGGTTTCAACTTTCTACACTATCTCCTAGGAGAGGTGAGTCCATTTCTATCTCTAATCAAGGAATTAAGTCAGTCTCTACCTCTGACAATGTTACTGCCAAATTTAGGTCTTTATAAGGCTGCACTTCAACTGAAGAGCTCAGTATAAGAAGGTCCTAGTCATTTTATTCTTTGAAAACTTGACAGACATGAATACATCCTTAGATGTATCCTTGTAACGACAACATATGAAAACCTAAGGAAGCTTTGCATTGATAAAAAAATGTTTCCCTCTTTCTGCTCTCAAAGGAAGTTAGTGGTGTTAGAGATGGCCTTTGTGAATAATTTGATTTAAATTGTAAGCCTAGCACCTTCTTGCACTGAACTGTTGAATTCTCTTTTCTTACTTTGCTTGTACTTACCCTGTCACAACTTACCCTGCTCAAAACCTTCATCAGAATGTCCTCAAGAGATAAATCTTTCTCAGATCCATGAGCATGAACTGGAGATGCTTAACTTGTTCACTGAAAAGTTTCAATGACAGGCTGGATGGATAGTTTTTTTCTACAGCAACTCACGTATGCAGTCGAGTTTCATTTAATTTTTTTTTTTTTTTATTCAAGGGAAATAATGGTTCATTGAATCACAATCTCCTATCTTCAAATCCCATGACAAGTGTACTCATCATTCTCACCACTTGGGAGAATGACCACTACAAGTATACTCATCATACCCAGTTAACAGGTTAATGAAGTATGAACAGTTGAAATCTTACATATCTACAAAATACAGTATTTGAGATGCAAAGACCAATGTGTGAGTGCAAAACATCCAAAAAAACAAGTTGACTTATTCTCCTGACATATATTCACAAACAAGCAATAGTTTAATTAGGAATCAACGAGCACTAAAGCTTTCTATTATCATTTAGAGTTGGGAACTGTTAACATTTAATTGATCATTTAACAATTTTCTGGTAATACTAAACCTTCTGGCAAGTATTCATCTGTGGATAGGGTAATCATTAACTTTCAAGTCTAAATTGCAAATTAGCCATTTTCCTTAGAAATTAGCACTATTTAGGTTTGTGAAAATCACTTACAGCCCAGCTTTTCATATTTTTTACTGTGGTGTGTGAGGTTCATTCCTAATATGCTCCAGCTCTTTGTATAGGAGAGCATGTGTTTGTGACCTATGAAGTTCTTGTTTATCATAGCAACTTTCCCTGTGATACAACTTTCTTTCTTTTTTAATGGGTACATCAAAGTAGAGGTTGAATCATATTATTATTTTAGGGATTCAGCAGGAATAGGGGAGGTTGTGTTCTTTTCCTTTCCCTTTTATGCTATTGTCATCTTGATAAAATATCTCAACACCTGCTTGCTTTTGATCATTCTCATATTTCAAATGGATAAAATCCTAACATGATCCCTGGGTTAGAGTTTTTCACTAGGGTAGCAGGTTATGAATTAAATCTTGAAGCATTCACAAATGGCCTTGTTTCAACTTCCAATAAAACAACCTTAAACTGAATTTTTAATCTTTGTGTTTATGGATTGTAAATACAAGTTTGAAATTTCATGTTAGGTTATGGTCCCATGGTATAAGTTTGCAGACGACTTAGCATATTCACTTTGCCAAGAAAACGGCAAAGCCAAGGAGTTGAATGTTATTACTGGTCATATACAATGCCTAAACTCATTTCAGTGTGTCATTGACTCCATTAGATCCTCAAGTGTGCGGTTTTCTCTTTCTTGAGAAAACTTAATCCTTGCAGAGAAACTTGTCAAACTCCAATGAAAATGGGGTGGAGGTTATCCTACTAGCCACTTAAGCAAACCCAAAAGATGCTTAGGGCATATAGGAGTATGGAGAAAAATTCCAAGATTAGTAGATGAGGCAATACAGAACAAATAAGGCATGCTTCATGTCACACATCAGGCAATGTGTCAGGCTATCCAGACCAATATCCAGAATCTGTTTTTAAGAAACAACAAACACTCAAGCAGATTAATGAAATTGCCTTTGGAGACTTTTTCTCTACATGACTTCACTGGTCAACTCTCAACAATAGCATAGTGGCTTAGGGGAAGAAAAAAAGGAAACTGGAGAAGCCACATTCTTCCTCCATTTCTTGGAATTTGGCAAGTTTTCTGTGTTGCCTCTTGTTATGACTTTGAAACTTCCCTTCACGTTTCTATCCACCATTAGGAGTTCCTATAGTGCATCCGTTCAAATCATGGGTTGTTGGATCTATGTGGCACCAGCATAATGAGGGTGAGAAGTGGGGAACATCAATCAAATCGGCCACCCCCAAACCCAAGGGCAACTCTGCCCCTTTTTTGATAGGGGAATGAGATCAATGAATGTACCAGGAAAGGTATTTTTAGAATTTTGGGAAGTAGAGGGTTGAAAGAAGAGGAAGCTCCACCACTGGTTTCCTTCTTCACTCCCCCTCTCCCCTCATTAATCATACAGTTTTCCATTTGGTCCTAGTGCCACCCAACACGCTAATGTCTTCCTTTGCTTATCTCTCTCAACCCGCGATTCAAATGGATGCACTATAACTCATTTCATGAGTAAAGTCTTCTGTGTGTTTGCTTAAAGCAATTAATAGGGTCCTCAGCCTCCCTTTACATAAGTATTTGGTGAGCTTTCTTGGTGACTATCCAGTGTCCCTGGAAAGCAAATTAATTTTATGACACATCAATATGAGTTTGTGAAAAAATTTCATTAGTATCATCAGACCTTCCCTTGGTTTTCTTTTTCTTGGTGATGAGTTTATTTCATGACATCCCAGGAGCATGCAAACTTATCTCTTGGTAACACATAGGGAAAGAAACATGGATTTTATTGTTTTCAGGACAATTGTGAAAGAGGGAAGCCTCAAGATTTATAAAGAAAAAGCTTTCTCTTTTTATTCCTGCAACTGGCCACTGAATGCATGGGAGATAAATGAGAGCTCACATTGTTACTATCATTTATCCTGAAGACAATAAAGATTGTATTTATTGAAAGTGGAGGCAGAAGCTGAAGTGAAGAATGGTACTGTACTCAAATGAGTTCAGACAAGCAGATGGATTGAACTATGTGCAGGTTGATTCCATGTCCAAGTGGGACTCTCATAGGTCTTAAAAATTACACTACAAGTGAAGTAAATTGCCTCCCCTTAAACAGTGAACTAATATTGTTCTCATCACAAGTCACCAAGTCATTCCCTGGCAAAAAAATGCCCATTGTATCTAAAGTAACCTGCACAATATGTATGCTGTGAAAGTGTAAAGTGGTTGCTGGAATTTCAAACACAATTGTATTTTCTCTGAGTGCAGTTATGTTCAGAAACCAAAAACTGTGTATTTTCATGGAACATCCAGGAAATTGACATTTCTTTTGCCTGGTCCTTTTCCCTATTGGCAGTCATTCTGGTCAAGAAGCAAAGCTCAAATTGTCAATCAGTTGGTTAGATATGCATATAGGCCAATGCTTGGGAGTTAATTCAGTGCACTGAAAGTGAATGTCATTGGATGTTTTGTGCATTTGACTGGCATATTACATTCCTCCTTTTATTTCTTCTCCAGTGTGGGAAGTGTGGTTTGAGCTTCTCACATGTCGAAAGGCTGAAGACACATTTGGCAAAACATCAGGAGAAGCCAGTGTTTGCCTGCTCCATCTGCGCAAAAACATATACAAGAAAGTCCTCCTTGGTTGTTCATTCCCGGGTTCATCGTGGGCTGCTCATCCCTTGTTGTCAACCTGGTTGTGACCAACAGTTTCCTTCCAAGGCACTTCTGAAACAGCATTTACAGTTTCACAAAGTGGGGGTCTTTTTCTTTATTTTTATGAAGGTCTCTTGCCAATCCTGAATAGATTTCTTGTTCTGTGCCTTTCAGGAGGAGAGAAACTTTGTATGTAACCTGTGTGAGAAGAGGTTCAAGACCAAGGGCCACCGTGACATTCATATAAGAGGATTTCATGGAAAAGGAGATTTGCCTCACCAGTGTGAAGTGTGTGGAAAATGCTTCCTCTGGAAGGGGAAATTGGAACGACACAAGATAGTCCACATGGAGTCCTTTGGCCATCAATGCTCCAAATGTCCAAAAAAATTCAGAACTGAGGAAGCTCTTCATCAGCATTCTAAGGTCTTCATTGTATGGGGTGATTAAAAAGTCTTGCAACTCATGGGAGTACTCAGTATTTATTAAGAAACCACTATAGTAGGTGTTGGAAATGATGAAATAGTATGCAGCATTTCACAACAAAAATTCTTTGCTAAATCATAAGTATAGTCACTCCTCACCTGCAAAAGAAAAACCTATTATACAATTACAGATAAAAAATCACTTGTCTCATGGGTTGTACAACTTTTTGATTACCCTGTATTTTCTTCCATGTAGGTAAGCCTACCTGTACTGGCTTCAAGATGAATGGTCTTTATTTGGTGTAATTGAAATCCTGATGCTGTTGATAGGTGAACTGTTCAGCAAATGAGCATGAACTAAATGGGAATCCGCCTGCAAAAAGCTACCCATTCAAAGTAACCATCACCCATCCATATTCATCATGAAGAGGCCTTTACATGTTTTTTTGCTTTGAATGTACATATATGTAATGAGTCAACATGACAAATACAGATAGGTTTCCATTTTCCATGATTCCTTCATTTTTACCTGCACCTGCTGTTGGGCATTATCCCATCATCAATATTGCAAGGTTCAGATGGATCACTGGTACCTACTGCTCTTTCAAATTTGCTCCTCAGGTGTATATAGTCAGAAGTGTATGCATTTGCATTAGAGCTGCTGGTAGAACAAGTCTCATGCTTTCATGAATAACTAATGGGAAAATTCTCAAGTAGACTTATTTTCATCTGTATGATCTGTGTAATTGACCCTTCTAGGCTTCTAATCTTCAAAGAGAGCATGTACCTTATCACTTGAAACTTCCAAGAATCATAGCTTGGGTGGCATGGAACAAACCTAGAAACATGCCTTACCAGATATTATGCTGTGTACTGGAATGGCTTCACCATATTTGTACCAGGGGTATTAAATGTCCTCAACTATGTTTGGGAAGTCATCATGGAATGTTGGCCATGTGCTATATTATGAACTTGTCTGCCTGATGACTTGAGAGATGTTAACTTCCTCAAGTACACCCATTCTTTAACAAAAAAGTGAGTGAAGGAGCAGCAGCCAGGACAGAACCATCCATCTCTCCTTCAATGCCAATGCCTCTGCAAGAGTCATTGTATTATATGCTGTCAAAGAAGATAAAGGTAGCATTCCAGCAAATTACATTTCACTCTCATTCTTAGAATTTTGAATAGGGCTGTGCCAATTAATTGGGAGCTATTGGTATTGACTGCCAATATGGTGGTAATAATATTGATGCCATTGGTAAGTTTGCAAGCTGTCAATGTCAATGCCCAAAGAAGAAGGTGCTGATTGAAGAAAAATAAAACAAAGCATGGAGATATATAAATGACTCTCAACCGCAATAGGGAAAGAGTAGGGCTGTCACAATGCATTGATTGATGTATTAATGTCAATATCAATAGTTGGAGGTGTAGTTGGTTTTCTAATCATATTAGAATAGTCCCCCCCCCCACCCTGATTACAGATGGAGAGATGACAGAAAGCGTAAAGAGGCCTCCACCCTGATCAAGGTTAAGGCAAAAAACAATGTAAAGCAAACTCTTACCGATCATGATGATGGAGTGAGTCCAAATCTGCTGTACATCCCCCCCACTCACATTTAATCGATGCAACATCAAAGGATCTGGTTGATATATCAATGTTTTCAAAGCAGCCATTGTGACAGCTATAAAGTAAAAATAGATTATGGCTTCCTAATTGGCTTATTTGAAGGAGTATTTGAGGTCATGGTTGATTTTCACTCTTTATCTATGTCACCATCGGCATTAGCATCAGGCAATGGGTATGAGACCTAGATTGGCTTTCAAGCGCAGCTCTAATTCCAAGCAATTGAAGCAAAAAAAAGAAAAAGGGTGTATGTCCACTTTAGTAGCTTGAAATGCTCAGTTAATTTCGAAAATTATTTGAACAAATGTTAACAGGATCTAGCTTGGCTCCATGATGACAAGTGGAAGATAAGGTTTGCTGATAGGGATGGGATGTGTTCCCATTCCTAGTATCAGAACGAAGAATTCTGCAGTTCTTCAGCAGTGAAAATATGAAAAAAACAGAACTGTGAACTTAGGAGAAAGTAATTGCCAGATTTAACATTGAAATGAATTGATACCATTGAAAATTGAATATGTAATTAGATTATCAAACAAAGAAATATATGTATTGGAGATGAATTGGATAATGATTACAAGGGAGGAATGGATATTGGGTAATTTGGCAATGATACTGGGTGATGATCATGGAGAGTATGGTAGGCATTAATGTTCAACATCAACAGGTCCCTTTTCCTTTCTCTAAATGCAGGAACATGAGGTGAAGAAGCCATATGGATGTTCCAAGTGCAGCATGACATTCTCAACTAAGAAGAAGCAACGAGTGCATGAGAATAGACACTCCACCATGTTCCAATGTGGAGAGTGTCTCTTATTTTGGAGTCAGGAAGCTCAGCTTAGTAAACATGAACAGAAACATGCCCAGCAACGCAAGAAAGGAATTTCTTTTAAGTGTACTGTTTGTGGGAAGTTACTAACTGCAAGAGAGAGTCTTATCTCGCACATGAAAACTCAGCATAACAAGGAGACTCCTCCAGATGTCAGAGGGAAGGCAAAGGAAGAGGAAAGCTTCAGGTGTTTGCACTGTAAAAAAGGCTTTAGTCATGCCCGAACCCTCAGAAACCATATACTGAAAGTGCATGGAAAGGAAGAAAGGTCAGAAGCTGATGGCTCTTCCTTGGGTCCAAGACTTACAGAACCAGAGCCTTCATCAAATGCTACAATCGCATCAATTTCAACACTGTCTCTCAGACCTGTCCCCCTTCCAGGGTGGTCTCTTGCTGACAGGCCTACAGGAAATGAACAAGTGCCATTAGCACCTGGGTCTCTAATTTATAGTCTTCTCAGTGGATGTGGAGGCACTGAAGATGCTGGGTCATCTGATGTGGGGACAAACAGCAAGGCCCCCTGTCCCAATCGTACTGGCTCTTCTATTCCAAATGTTTTAGACTTGTCTCAATGGAGTCTTCCTATCTTTCGATGATTCTTTAGTAAAAAGAATATTTTGGTAATTTTACATGAGGAAATACATACTCTTCACTCAAAAAATGCAGTGCTGATGAAATATGGTTGAGGCATGAAATTGATGAGAGATCTAAGGGAGAATTAATGTGATTTTTCATGAAGAAACTTGCCTAACACCATGTAAGTGGGATGGGATGCTGCCTACCACAGGGTGTCCTGAAAGCCAGTTGTCATGCTTAAAATAAATTATTATTAAGGAAAAGACAAAAACTCAAGTCAAAGAGCATATTTAAGATAAATTCGTATTTTTTCCACTGATTGTATGTTATCAATGCAAAGCAAAATCACTTCTGCTATCTCCTCAATAGTCAACATAATCTGAAAGAGATTTTATTGGATAAAATAAAATCTAATGAAAACTGGCTTTTGGGACATCCTGTATATGCCAAAAGAAACACCTCGATGGAGTTCATTGAAGACATGTAGAACAGGAACTTTTAATGGTGACAGAAAACTGATCAAAGATTTGTCACTGGAAGAGATTATATGAAGATATGTTTTTAATTGCCTGAGGTACGAGGAAACAAGATGGCTTAATATATATATATATACACGGTGATTCAAAAGTCACCTGAATTTTTTTTGTGCTGCATATTGTATCAATCAATTTGTCAGCTTCTCCTGAGCAGTTTGGTATGATATTAGTGTGGGGCAAAAGATACTTCTGAAGAAATGACAAGAAAAGAGTTATAATTAGCATAATGTTTCTTGACTCTTGGGTAATTCCACACCAAATCCACCAGAGTGTGAGTTTGACCATCTGTGATTTTTACAAAAAAGGGTATGCATGTAGAGGAATTGATTTGAAGAAAAGAGGTTCCATTATTTTTTTATTATCTTGTACCAATCTTGAGATGCATGCAATTGAATGTCACCTATTTTTGGCTTCTGGCACCTATATGGACTGTAATTGTGAAACTATTTTTGCAATAACTTCTCTTCTATTTACGATGCAAGCTTCATTCTGGTGTCATTTTAATTGCGAAACTGCTGTCTTTAGATTGATTTATGACTCTTCTCTGGAACTAAGACAAAAACTTCCATTTAATCAAACAGTTTAAGTTCAGTGGCTGATATCTACACTTGCCGCCACTGGAACTTGTGGTTCCAATACTTGATTCAAAGCGCATTTTATGCCCTTTCTAACAATACCAAATTCGAGATTGACACTCAATTGCCTCATGAGATATAACCATTTCATGGGAGGAACAGTACAAACCACAACAGCACACATTCCCTTGGTTCCCAGTTGCAGCCATCTGTGCACTGTTCCTTCTATGAAATGGTAAAATGGATGAGTCTAAAGTCTCCCCCACTGTTTATTGGTAATAACTCATGACTTTGAGATCAGATTGCAATGCAGCATAGATCATATGAAAGCCAAGAAATTTCTTCATTTAACATTTCTTACTTCATTTCAAAGTTATAAGCTTGAGATTTGCAACATTCATTCAACCAAGGCTGAGGATTTGTGATCTCTGCTGTCACAAGCTGCATCCACTTTCAAAGTAGTTGATGAATATTTCTGTTGAACAATTTGAAGTTTTCTTCAGAGTGACCAGGTCATGGATAGGTGAAATCCATGAAAGCAGTTGGAAAGTATATAAGTCTCTTCATTTTCAACAGAAGTGCCATAATCTTGATGCCTTTATCCCAGTATGATGAAAGTTCATTGATGCCCCTTGCATCAACAATAAATAACCTGTGTCCTTCAGTTATAGCCATTGATGTACAGCCATTGTGTATCTCTTCATCCATTTGAAACTGGCCACTCAGGAGTTTTCTCAGTTGGCCAAACAGGTTATATTTGCTGGAAGTCAAATCCAAACCGTACAGTGGTTGATGGTCTAATGTTGCTCTGATTACTCCAGACACATTGACATCATTTGGTTGGTAGGTAATGAAACATCCTCCATACAGTCTGGGTTCACTCCCAGAGCCTATCACCTATTTGGACCATTGGAAAAACACCTGGATGGCCAAGATTTTGGGATGGAAGTAAAGATGCAAAAGGCTGTGTGGCAATCACTGTGATCATAGGATGTCACATTTTATGGATAAGCATCTGTAAACTTGTGTCATAGTGGGATGAATACATTCTTGTGAACAGTATTTATGTTGAAAGTGAATAACAAGAATCTCATACTTTCCTACTGTCATAGCAATTTTTCCTGGATTTAAGTTTAGGTTGCACATATGGGAATTTGTTTTACTATTGAGCATGCTTTGTAAGTTGCAGCTGCAAACATTAATTCACATGTCATCTTAATAATGCCAAAGCACAGTAAACTACATTGCATGAAAAGTTGGTTGGACTGTTGTTCCAATTGAATTGTCCTCCATCCATTATTTTTAATTGAAATTTTGAAAGGAGAAAGGATCGAGCTTCATGGGTCGACTCCAGGCATTTACCTTCTCATGCCTCTTTGCTCCTCTGGACAATCCAAGCTACTCTAATATGAGGAAAAGGTATTCATGTCTTGGGGATATACCATATTGAACTCTGCAAGGAGCATGTGATGAGACTGAACAAAAAAAAGAGCATATTGATAGTGTTTTTAGTCCCATCTGTAGGAATTATGGAAGGAGGACGATCTAAGGACCTCTTTCTGCAGCTTCTACAAGAGGTTGAACTATACAAGGTCAGTGGAATTTCATGCAGGATATTCCTGCCCTTTTTATTTGGTATTCTAGTTACTAAACCATTTCTGCTTATGTAGGTCCAGCAGTCATCTCTGAAAGAGAGGCTGTCTGGTGTCATCCAGGAGAATGAGAAATTAGCAAGGGAGCTGAAGCAACATTTGGAACAGGAAGTGTCTTCCATCCAGCAGACTTCCATCAGTGATTACGATCATATATCTCAGTTGGAGGAGCGGATTCACATCTTAGAACAGGTTCTCCTTTCAGGATGCCTAAATTGTTGTGATTCAGATGGCACAGGAATCAGGCATGTATGAAATTTGCATCATAGGAACGAGACAGGGCCCTGGAGCTGTGGGAGATAGCACTTGGGCATATCCAACAGCTTGATTCTCATTTAGAGACCCTTGCTGAATCCTCAAAGGATGAAGTGCTTGATCATCACATCAAGGAGGTTTCCTAATTTCATTGATGTCCAGTTATAAGCTAACTTGAGCTTGCTTTTGTTTGCTTCATTATTTGTGCTTGCTTTTTGCATTGGTTGCTCAGATTGAGAAAGAGTATGCATCTGCAATAAAAGGATTGAAGAAGGAGCAAGTAACAATCAAGGCTGTGTTTGCAGAGAAGACAGAAGCTTTAGAGAAATATGTGGTTACTATCAATGACCTAGAGACAAAAATAAGGCATCTGAAGGATACTATTGTGGAGAAAGACCAGGCTCTCCTTGACTGGATACAGAAAGAGAATGATTTACAGGTGGGACTCCAGGAAAGAAGTCAAGAAGCTGCCAAGCTGAAGGTGCAATTGATTGACTTTGAAAGTGCAGTTGAATCTCTGAAAAACGAGAATGCCCAGCTCCGAGCAACTATTGCCATGTATGAGTCTAGGATGAAAGAACACAATGAGAGAGAAGCAGAAGCAAGTGAATGTGTGAAGCAGAGTGTGGAGACAGCAGAGAAAGCCCTCTTTGAAAAAGATTGTGCAGTTGCAAGGGAGAAAGAAGCTCTAAGTAGGTTCATTTCCTCATGCTACCTGTCTGCCTTATATGGAATGGAATGCATTTGAGTATCCTTGTTCACAGGAGAATTAATTTTGCATTTTGGTCATGGCCATTGGCATCAGCTAGATTTTTTTTTTTAATGTCATATGAGTAGACCTACAGCTTATGAATTGGTTTTCAATATGCTTCTTGCATAGATGAAGTAGTTCTTTTTTTATTCACTTTGAAGTAAAAGTATGTGGCATGGCAGATCCCCTTTAGTGTCAGCTTTTATATATATTGAGTAGAGGAGGTGAGTAGACTGGAGCAAGCATTACGAGAAGTGATCGACGAGGCTGGTGATCAGGCTTGGAAGCATGTTGATGTCATCAAGGCCAAGTATAACAAAAATTTGGCTCAACTTGGCAAGGACCTTAAGCAATTGAAAATGGTATGTAGAATAAAGTAGAGAAGGTATCTGGAAAATGTCACAAAATCCATGTTGTCTCTTGCCCCCTTAGTAGCATGCCATATTGCATGCTTCTGGATATATTTTCCTCAACACCTTCATCATCCAGGGTTTTGATGCATGCATTTGGAAAGTCAGACTCTGTCCTACTCTTACCCATTTAAAACTCTCTTCTTTTCTTTCTTTTTTTTTTTAACTAGATACAAATGATGATCAAGAAGTTGCCAGACTGCTTCTGTAATTTCTTTAATCCTTAATGTCTCTTATTGCCAGTATCCTGTTTTGGGCCTTCTAGGTGATTGAGCAAAATTGTTTGCATACTGGCTTTTATTTTAAATTTGAAGTAATTTTTATTAGTAATATTTTATCTTGGACATACTTGGCCCAAATGAGTGAGGAATCTGATGAAGCAAAAATTTAAGTTGTATTCTTCTAATAGTATTTTGTAAAATTGGGGAAATGCATCCAAGAAACCTGTGGTATGCTATGTGCATTATGTGTGACTGTTTTTGGAGCAGATGCTCCAGATTGCTGGAGGACTTAGATATTATTATTAGGATATTAGACTGCCATAAATGGTTGAAAGAGGATGGTCATTATGGACCATCCAAGGTTGGGTCCTTGACCATCAGTTTGGGTTGAGGAGAAGAGCAAAATTGCAAGGAATATGTTTGGAAATTCATGAAGTGACAATTCATGAGTGTGCTGAGAACTTATCTTAAGCTCTATCTTAGGATAGCACTCAGCATAGCACCTTTCATCAGGTCCACTCCTCAGCTGAAGTTGATTATTTGCCCATACTTTAGGCCAGCCTTGCTAAAAATGCTTGATTTCTGCTAATTGCTTATGGCATTTGTGCCACTGTGAATGCCTTCAAGGTTCCTGGGGTATAGTCCATTTTCCCACTTCAATGAAAATTTGATAGCAATCATAATTTTTACTGCAGCCTGGGAAATTCCTTATTCACTTTGGTATAATTCAGGGCTACTTGACTTGTTCAGGCACAAGGACCACAATCTCTATGACACATTGCACTTGTGGGGTATGAGGGGTGTTCGAAAAGTAATAGGAATTTTGAATTTTTTCCCAATCAACATATTTATTCATCATTATTTACACTTAACTTTTTAATATAATCACCCTGGAGTGCAATACACTTTTTCCAACGAGAGACTAACTTCCTAAGGCCATCATTAAAGAATTCCTTTGGTGTGCTTTTAGTCCAACGTTCTACCGCATCCTTGACCTCTTGTAGAGAAGAAAAACGCTTGCCCCGAAGTGGTTTCTTCAGTTCTGGGCTGACTCTTGTTACCTTAGGTCTAATCGTTCTTGTTTAATAAATAAATTCCTATTACTTTTCGAACACCCCTCGTATATGTCCTTAATGGGCGGGGGGGGGGGGGGGCTGCTAACTGAAGGAAAGAAACCTCCTCAAATTTGATGTCTTGCCAATTCCCAAGTGAAGTTCTACTAGCCAAATCTCTGAAAGTCAATTCCCTGAAGACTAATGGCGCATTAATTTTTTTGAAGAGGATTGACTGTCAGTTTCATGTGGCAAATTTCTGCCTTGTCTGCCCCCAAATGGCAAGTTTCTTGTTAATGGTGCTACAAGATGACAGTATAGGATTGGCAATTGTAATGCAATGTTTTTTCTTCCATTAAAATTCTCCAGCTCTCATGTATTGTAGAATGGAACATGAAAACCAGTTAATTGCCATGTCAGACTTGGTTGAGACTCAAGTGAAAGAAGAAAAAGGAAGAAAGAAGTGGTCTTAGCCACCACAGATGAAGTAGTCAGAAATATATCTTTCAAGATCTAAAATGGGAGTTGATAATGAAATATGAGGTAGCTCATGTAGCAGGTTGTTATGGGGGTTAGTCATTAGAGGTTGAATGTGAGAATGTGGATCTTGTGCAAAGTTAAAAGGGAAGGGATCTTCTCAATTAGAAGCCATGGTATTTTCTGTCTTGATATTATGGTGCTATGTCTCAGACCAACATTGGATTGTATAAAGAAAAAAAACCTCACAGGTATTAAGAATAAACTTGATGCTAGAATTGTATCCTTTTACATGCACTGAAATTAGTTCCTTGATTGGTTATCAGTGGAAAAGCAAGAGACTGCTTGAGTAGACATAGTCATAGCAATTGTTCAGGTAATGCCAATATACAAAAATAAACCCCTGCATTTGAACAGCATATTTGTATTTTTCATTTTCCCTTCCTGGTTTCTGGTGTTGGACAAGTTCTTCATGTCACTTGAAGAGAACCATGTCATTATGCCATGGTCCGAGAAAAAAAATTGTAAGGGGAGAATTTATTTATGCTTAAGCAGGGCAGTTGGGATTTGTACAATACAGGAATTTCCAGGTATTTGACCATCAGGGACTAACCCTTTGGGAAATTAAATGTCTGGGACGAGCCAAGTGCCGATGATTACGTGTAATTTTTTTTAAAATTTACTTTGACTATCAATTGACACCTAGTGACCTCTAATGGACAACATGTTGAGTAGCCCTGATCTAATGTGCCTAAGAGTTCATTCAATAAATTTTTTATTTCAAATGAAAGCCAGTAAGCAAAATATTTTGCTTATGCACCTCAAGACCCAATACAAGATACTTAAAAGGAGAGGCTTCTGTACAAAGACTAAAGAAAATACAGAAACAGTCTGGGAACTTTTTGGTCATCCATCATTACCATGATTCTTTTTCATTTCCCAACATTAGCACTCTCACTATTCCTCTTGCTTATGATATATTTCACTTGGAGGGCAGAACCATGTCCAGCATTACACCTAAGATAGAAGCGTCACAATTAGTTAAGCCTGTAGCTGCTCACAAAAAGATTTAACTCAATCACAGAAGTTTCTCACTTCTTGCAACAGATATGCTAAAGGTCTTTCAGGATAACAGTAATCAGTCTGGTCCTTTATTTACATAAAGAGAAAAGTGAGGAAACTTAACTTTATTACTTAGTATCATTCACTTTGGTGTGAAAAAAGAACTCAGCCCAGTGGTGTGTAAAGTGAGAGAAAATTAATAGCTAATTAATAATGGTTAATAGAGGTTCCCTCTCCCCATTAGCCATGAACTCACAAACTTTCTCATCTCTCATAGCTCTCCTAGGAGACATCAGTCCAAGCTTCAAAAGGTATTGACTAGGACTGTACATATGACACAAGTGTGTCAATAAGTAGCTCCACTGCATTCTTGTTTTCATGTAAAAAAATCAATAATACTCATTTAACACAGGTTGCCACAGTGATACTTGTGACCTGGTGTTGAGTGCCACTCATGGGAGCCAGACCGTATAATTCTTCATTCTTATTCTGGAGGCAGCATTTCCTAATATAGGTCATCGGCCATCTCACCCTAATAGAGAAAGCTAAAATAGAGCTCTTAAAAACAGCCATCTGGGATTTTTGCTAAGTTATTGCTCCTACTCAAAATTCTCTTTCTTTTTTCCAAAAGTGCTAATTGTATGAACATGTTCCAGAGTGGTGAGCACTGAGAGGAATGTGTATTTATGCATGAGATTTACAAGGAAATGTGTGTGAGGTATTCTCCTTCTTTCATGTCAAGTTTCTGAGATGTCTCACACATACTCTGAAATGTTTGTAGCTCTTCAGCTATGCTAGCATGTATTCATGTTGTCACTGGCATCTTGATTTTTTTGTGTGATGCTATAGGAAAAAGCTGATAGTGAGGCTCAATTTGAGAGAGTCAATCGAGAGAAAAAAAGTATAGAAGAGGAACTGACCCGAGTGTCTCGCTTTGCCAAAGATACAGAAGAATCAGCCCTGCAACAGCTTCAAGCAGTCCAGCAACAGCTGAATGAAGTCAATTATTTGGTCATCCTTATTCCAGGTTTAAGTTCTGAATATGTGTGATGTCATGAATTTTAAGTTTTCTCACTCACAGGTTGAAAGGAGGTACCGTGAATTGGAGCTTGAGAAGGAGGAGGAGAATCAGCGAATGAAGAGATGGGAAAGAGAGAAAGATGGGGATTTGGAAAGAGCTCAGCTGAAGATCTGTGCCCTAGAGGAGAGAATTCGAGGAGTGGAAACAGATTGGGAAGCAGGGAATTCAGAGAAACTTAAACTTGTTGATCAAGTGGCCACTCTTCAGGATAGAATCAGAGATGGGGACAAGAGGTTGAAGGAAACGGAGCGGAAACTTTTCATGCAAGCAAGGTTGGTGGACTCTCACTTTGAAGTAGTATATACAATGTGGTGCAAAAGTAGGTATACAGTTAACTGTTTGATGACACAGATGCATTCAATGAGATTAATGAAAATAAGGAAGTGTCAGAAAGTGTGCAGAAGTGTCAATTGTGATGGCCACCAGTTTGAACATCTCCCAGAATAGCCTCCTCTAAATGTTTTGTAAATAAATAAATAAACAGCTAACTGTATACATTCTTTTGCATCACCCTGTTCATTGGATCATCTGTCAATGTGTTCTGAATGTGTGGACTAAAGTCCTCAATGATCATGGATCCATGTTGTAAGTATAGACCCCAGTGATTTAAAATGCCATTGTATTCCAGATCCTTCCATGATAAATGGACTTGTGTAGAGTGACTGAGATGTATGAGATTACAATGAGTTTGGATCAGGCAATTCATATACTGTACTGGCTTATGCTGGCTCAGACGTCCAGGATAATCAAGACTACAATAGTCACCATGTTTCCAGGGATGACTGTTGATTAGTTGGCTTCTGGGGTTGGCAATTGATGCTTTTGTGTGTGTTATACTCAATGTGGCTATTCTCTGGTCTATTAGTCAACTTGCCATTGACCATAACATATCTTCAGCACAATGCCCTAAGGGTTAATGATCTTGGCAATGGACTGAGAATGTTTCAGGTTGCAACATTCAATCACTCAGTAGTAAGGAGCTGAAACTTGTGAAAGAGGCTTGGAAGATGAGGCTAGATATATTCAGCCTAGCCTTGACCAAGAGGAGTGTAACTGGTTCCATTACCCAAGACCAGAGGTGGATGCTCTTTCTACTGGAGTGGGGTTGACCCAATCATGTTCGCCCAAGTGGGGATGGGGATACCTTTCAGTCAGCTTGCTCACAGCATGATTGAATGAAAACTGATCAGTGACCTGGTCACTCTGATCTGCTTCAGATTGGAATGAGTGGAGGGGGAGAGAGAGAGAGAGAGAGAGTCTTGGCTGCTGTTCAGGTCTGCAAGCCATATGGCAAGTTGGACTACAATGCTACATCTGCCTCTTTGAGGTAGATGGGGGCATCATAGTCTGACTTATGATCCTGAACATTGATCTCATTTTGCTGTTGAAGGATTTCAAAATGGAAGTTGGGAAAGATTCAGGCCAAAATGCTGAAACTTCCTTTAGTTAGCTGTCCTTTAAGAATGCATGGATTCATATGGGAGAAAAAGAGTTCTTTTTCTTAAAGGTCCCTTCATCTCCCCTAAGTGAGGTTTGTGCATTGGGCTTAGGTTTATTTTTAATCCTTTCCATTTCTTTCTTCTTTTTTTTTTGCCAAGAATTCAGTTCAAAAAAGTCAATTTATTTCTATTAATAAATATTTATTTCTATGAAAATGTCAATAATAGTATAATTAACTTGTAACATAATTTTGCTATATTTAAAGTATTATTTCTATATTTCCATAGTTGTGTGCAATGGAGATAAACATGTATGCATCAACGTTTAACCCCTTCCATGATTTGCCTGAACACAGTTGAGCCAAGTCACAGAGGGGGTTAATGACCTGACCTAATACCAACTCCTTCCAGCACAGGGATATCCACAGATATCCACAAGTATATGTGCCTTGGGGGGGGGTCTGTCAGTTGGATTGGAACTGTGCACCAGCAATCACTGATCAATTATGTGATAGTTTCAATGGAGTTGTGGGGCCTTATGATGGGTATAAGTGTGGGGTCTGAATTGAGCACTACCCACAATTTAGTAGTCAGCAAACTCCAGGTACAGACATGCCTCAATGAGGCAGAAAGCCACATATATTGTAAAATGGACAAGGTGGGGAGCCCTCTGTGAGAGAAATTTTGAGATAAGTTGGCAAGGGTGATTGGCAAAATGTACTCCCAGCTCTATCCCAGACTTGTGACACAGAAATTGAAAGAAATCATCAAAGGCCAAGTTCTGACTACTGAGGCAAAAATACTTTGGATGTGGAAAGAAAATTTTGAAGAGCTCTTAACCCACCCACAGTGAACTTAGACATATCCCACTTGGAGCATTCCCACACAGAGCTTTACCACAAAGGAAGTTCTGCTGGCTATCACTAATCTGAAGAATGGAAAGTCCCTGGTGTATATGAAATCCTGGCAGAGGCACTGAAAGCAAAAGACACTGATGGGTGCTTGTCACTGCATAGGGTGTGAATGAATGAATATATTTATTTGCCACACATGCCCAAGGCACCCAATCGGCATTTCTACTTATAAGAAGATACGGAAAGAATGGGAAACAGCAAACAAGGGAAAGAAAAAAAAAGAAAAGAAAGAAAAAAAGGGGGGGGGTTTGATAAGAGTTTGGGTTTGTGTCATAGCATCAGAATAAAAACAAAAAAAAGCCAAAAACCAGGAACAAAAACCCAAAAGAGAAACAAACCAAAAATACATTTATGTGGGTATGCCAAACACTTCTTAACAAGGATTGATTTTCATCCTTTATCATCAGTTTCTTTATCCTAGGTAAATAACCTATTTATACCATATTTTTTATTCATATTTTTCTTGAGAGGATTTTTGGATTTGTTCATTTATAAATCTCATTTTACATCCACGAAGCAGCCTCTGGGACTTTTTGCTTTCTTTTGTTAAATACAATACGCAAGAACAAACTAAGGTCATGTAGTGGAGCATTTAGTATTATAGTTTCTGCTGTCCTTGAAGGGTCCTTTAGTTTTAAAAAGTAAAAATGAGAACGAACATCCTCCCAACTCTTCACGCCATAGAAGAATGTGCTCTCTAGATTCCTTTATAGAACACAATGGGCAAAGCAGGTATCCAGTGGGGTCCAAAAGCCAAGGAAAATTCCAATTATCAGAGATGAAATGTTTACAATACAACTAAGTTTTTTCTGCCATCTCTGGGAAAACGAAGTACGTACTGCCAAACGAGAGTGCACCAAATAGCGTGAATGGCAAGGAAAGGCAGCTGCGCCGAACATGCCATATGGCGTGAACGGCAGTGGAGGTTCGCTGCGCTGAACATGCCATTTGGCGTGAACGGCAGTCAAAGGGTTAATAGCCATGAAATCACTCACTTTGACATACCTGATGAGGTCTATGCCAAGGTTTTAGAGGAGAACTCATGCAGCCATTAGAAGAACCATCCATAGGAGCAGTACATGCTTTAAGAAGAGCACAGCACTATGGACAGGCAGTTTACACCCTGTCAGCTTCTTGGGAAGCTTTGGGTGTATACCAAGGTAAGATTTTTGCTGTGGGGAGTACTGCAGGATTATGGGATAAGCAGTCGGCTATTGTGGCTGTTCTCTTCGTATAGAGCAGGGATGGCCACACTGTAGCTCACAAGTCACATGCAGCTTTCAGGCATCTCTAAATGTCCATATGGTTTTTTTATGCAGCTTGTAAGGTCAGGAAGTTTGGCCATCTGTTACATGGTGATTGTAGGAATTGCATTCAAGCTAGAGAGACATTTCTGACACTTTCCCTGTGCATTTTATTGGGCTCTGATAGTTGCATTCTCTTTCCTTTCTTGTTCCTTGTGTGCATGGAAAGAATTCATAGGTGCAGTCTTGGCCAGGTGGTGGTTAAATATCAGTGGTGCTGAGGGGAAGATACTTCTCTTTGCTGATGATGCTATATTTTTGACCAAGTCAAGACAGGAGTTTCAGAATGTGCTGGATCATTTCTGCACCAAATGCACTGCTGATGGAAGCATTGATAAGATACAGACTATGGTGATTTTCAAAAGTCCTGTATAATGTGCCCTATATGTCAGGAGAGCCCACCACTGGAGCAGATGAAGTTCAAAGTTCTCCAGGACCCATTCCTGAATAATGGACAATATGAAAATGATATTGGCAATCTCATCTTCAAGGCTTCAGGAATTTTGTAGTAGCTCTGGCAGACTGTGACTGCCAAACAGTAATTTCCATTGAGGTAAAACTGTTTTACAAAATCTTCCCAATATCTCTTGTGTCCATGAACTTTGAGTAAATGACCAAGAGAATCAGATCACTGATACAAGCTGCTAAGATGAGGTTCTTACATTGTGTGGCCAGTGTCTACAATGGGATGCAGAGTGCTGCCAACCAAGAGAGTCTTTAGGTTGAGCAACTTCTCCAGACAGAGATCCCATGCCATCATTATTTAAACATCTGCCACTGCCCCTGATAGTCTCCCAAAAAGAATCTCAGTCTAAGATGGCAGGCAGAAGACCTGTCCACCAACCTCATTCAAGGTGAGACAACTATGCCTTGAAGCTTTATCATGAGAGACTAGGCATCCCACTTGCTTAGCTTGAGTTTATTGCCCAGGACTGAGAATATTGGAGGATGATCATAGTCCTGCTTGAACTCTTATCATTGTGATGGAATAGAAGATATAGAAAATGTGTTTTTGTATGCAGACTAAAAGAGGAAGAATGGAGGAACAAGGTGAATCACCTGGATGGTCGTCTCATGGGCCTGGAAAAGATTCATCATGAGTGCACATCTGAACTGAGGGATCTTCTCGAGGAGCAACAGAGAATCACCATCAGGTAGGAGTACATACCACTTAAAGATCAATGTTTTGCTCAGAAAAACATTTATCTCTTGCTCCATTCATTTGCCCTGCATTCCAGGTGGAAGGATGAGGCTGAGAGCATGAGGCAGAGGTATGAAGAAAAGCTGAAGGAAAGTAAGGAGGAAGTGAAAGCCCTGAGAAATAAAAATTCTTCCTTGCTAGCAGAGTACAAGGCTTTACAGATCCAGTGTCAAGAACTCAAAAAGGAACTTGAGCTTAACCTTCTCCGGTGAGTTGATCCTTGACTGTCTGCATTGTCTGGTACTCCTCTCTAATACTCCTCTCTTGCATAAAATACTTATTTTCTGAATACCTTTGTTCTATTTTCCTTCTTCCATCAGGTTGGGTCATGATGGTCAAGAATATGAAAGTCATCGCTTCCTTGATTCTCTTGCAATTCGTAATGGCTTTTAGCAGCTGGATGCCAGAGGCTTGTTCCTTGTTGCTTCCAAGTCCATCCATTCAATCTCATCACTGCCTAGTCACCACATGTTCCTTTCTTGCATGTTTTTTATGTATTGGATCCATATGAATATTTTTCACTGTCAACAAGCATCTTTAATTTTATCTCATAGCACATTAACCCTTTGGCTACCAAATTTTATTAAGCCACTATGAGGAAATTTCACTGATTATTTTCATATTGTGCTAAAGGAATTTTGCAATGTTATACTAATTTTTTTTTTTAAATCACACAGTCAACCAAATATAATAAAACAGGGAGCTGTCATGGCTGCACATGGATATTTGAAGTGCATTGGGAAAGCCATCGTGACAATTCACAATAGTAAGGGAGTTAATATGCCTTTCCAAACAAACACTTAGTCCTACTTCTTCTAGAGTTGATAGTTTCTTTTCTTTGATTGCTTGTCATTCCATCCACAATGATAAGTTGAATGAAAATGGAAAGATGCATAATGATAAACACAGGCATGGCATGTGATGATGAGCAATCAAAGGAATTATCAGCTTGGGAAGTTGAGGATAGCCATGATTATTTTTTTACAGATAAACCTATCAATGCTGAGGGAATCGCTGAGCAAATGAACACCTGCAGTGCAGGAAACAGTTAGGCTTATAAAGAAATTTTATTGGGGCTTGGTGTTACCCTTTGATCCACCCAATTGTGATCTGATTTTTTTTGTGATCAGCAGAGTTGGTACTTGAAATCAGTCAAGCAAACCTCTTTCAGCTGTCATTATAAGTGGGCATGGCTGAGCTCTAAAGGTTAAAACATCCAGGTTTTGAGATGTGAAGTTCAGTGACCCTGAGTGAGATAAGTGGGGAGATGAGAAATATATGAAAAGCCCAAAAGCTTGTTCATGTAATCAGCAGTTTGCTTTGAGTTAAAGGATACACTTATCTAAATGACTAAGCCAATCTCGGTGTAATCACTGACCTTCGTGTGTTTCAAAACCGAGGGGCAAATCTCCGAACAATGTTGGCAAAAGGCTGAGCTGTGACTCTATTCCTCATTGAATGTAACCTCCAAATCATGTGTGAAACTTCCCTGTTGTTGGACACAATTCAAGTGTAGAAAGGATTTTGAAGTTTGTGCTCTGATGTCCTATTCCTTACTGTGCTCTGCTATATTTTGATTATCATAGTTGGCAAGTAAATGAGATGAGATTGTTTGATAATGAAGATCTGTGCAATGGGCATCTTGTAGCATTTGCCTGGGACTGGGGTTTTTACCCTGGAATCCTGCACTTCAAATTGTATTTACTTTCCTCTGAACAGAGTTCTGCTGTTTTAGTGAACTTTACTGAATTAGCCAGAAGTGGTAGATCTCAAATCTTCAACTTTCTGTATGTTCTATTGATGTCATCAACAATGAAACTTGGATTGATCTCTCATGTGTTTGGTACAGGACAGTGAAGCAAGGATATTGACTTTATAAGATGTAGGCTGTTGTTGGGAGAATCATGTCTTGAATACAAGAGCACACAACCTGGTCAGCGACAGGTATCTGGAGTGAGTTCTTGGCTTCTCAACATGGGCGTTGTTCATGCAAAGGTATATAGTAGAACTACCAGATAATGAAATAATTTACTTGGAATTGATGAAACCTGAGATTGCTGGCTTCACCCTTGACTGTTTTATGATTGATTTTAGGAACTGATTATGGATGACATGAAAGAGAAAACAGTGGTGTCAATAGAAGGCATCAAGGTGAGCAAAATTTGAAGGAAGATATGAAGTCATGTCCTGCATTGAGGGAGAAATGCAGTCAGATGAATTGTCTGTTTTTCAGGCAAGAGTTGACAAGATTCATGTGAATGGGCTGCAGAGGACCAAAGATGACATTGTCCTGGAAAGTGTTGACCCATTGTTCAAGGCTTGCAGCTTCAAAGAGGTGTCTTCTAGTCCTTGTCATTTTGTTGCATAATAATTAATTATTCCTTTTTAACAACCTGGTTGAAATTCTGAAACTTTTATATACCAGTATTTAAATTTTTCAGGTGCTGATTGAAGCATTGGAGGTTCGATCTAGGCTTCTTGAACTTGGATGTTTTCGAGATGTCTCCATATTCATTGACACTTCCTCTGGACAGTATTCAACTCCTGATGGCCTTGAGGTTGTGTCTTGGTCCTCTTCTCTCCCTAAACAATCATGTATGATGCATTTGTGAAGGTGAAAGGATCTGTGACAGGTGACATTCCATGTACTCGAGTTGTCACGCTTGACTGGAGGTGTCAATACCATGGTTGGGAACAATGAAGGATCTGTGGGAATTGGGTGCAGAATGCCTAATGTTCTTGGGCGTGGAGAACGGGTCTCATTTGACTACAATTATGGAACAAAGAAAAGTTCCCACTATGCTGGTACTCTTTCTCGTCCTCTTCACCGATGGAGAGGAGCAGGGTATACATACACTTTCCTCTTCTTTCTAAGGGAAGGAAATGGAATGCATAACCATTTTGTGTGCACTTTTCGTAGGGTACAGAGTGGCCTGTATTCTCACCTGGTTGATCAGCCATGGTCAAGCTATAAAATTCATTCTCTGGGAACTTATGCCCAAGTCTCCCTTGAGACTAAGCAGGTGAGGAAAGAAAGCAGATTGTTGTAGAGAAAAATACAATAAGGATCTGGGAGGCAACAGACAATGTTTTTTTGATTGATTTTTTAGGTGATGCATCAAATGAAGTGGGAAGGGGTTTGGAGAGAACTGAGTAGCCTGAGTCAAAAAACAAGTCTTCCTGTCAGAGAACAAAGTGGTCATAGCCTGAAAAGTAGTCTGATATTGAGTCACTCATTTGACACCAGGGATTCTCGAATTCTTCCATCCACTGGCTCTCTATTTTCCTTGTCCAATGAATTTGCTGGACTGGGAGGAGATGTGAGCTTTTTCAAGCAAGAAGCCGAGCTCCAGCTGAACACTCCTCTCCCCTTCAATTGTGTATGAATGCAACTTCAATGGACATAGATTAATGTGCAGCCCTGATCAGAAATCTAGTATATTCCATCTCAGCTAATACTTCAACTATTAACTTTGGAAAGAGAAAAACTTTTCCATCAAGGCCCTGAGAGTTCAATATGATGAAAGTTATAAGGTCCACTTATTACAGAAAGAGGAAATCATCTACCTCACTTCCAGACCCCCTCTTCCACCTGTGCAAGTAAAGTAAACAGAAATAATTGTGCCCATAACAAGGGTTTCAGCCTCTAAGTGGAATTTCATAAAATGAGTAGTTCTAAAGCTGAATGCAGAAATCTAAATGCATTATTTTATTCAGATTTTAAGGTTCTGAGTCAAAATATAAAGGCCAGAATTCCAAAAGCATGAAACTGGATTGGTAATATGATGAACAGTGCTTCCAACAACCCTAACCCCTCAGCTTATCTGCTTAGTTGATGCTGCCTGCACTCTTGGCCCTTGTGAGGGTGTAGGTAAACTGCTTGTCAGTCCCACTTGACACTCATTGCTCTTAATCTAGTAAGTGCTAATATATGCTATGTCCAATGAGATGAAGTCAAGCTGCCATTTCTTTTGATTCCGTATGAATGATGAGAGTTTATGAATTCATCAAACACCCAGTTATTCTCTCTATGTCTTTGAGACTCAGGGATGTAGATAAGTAAGACGTCAGCCTAAGATTGCACACCCGTGTCTTCTCTGTTTAGTACTATTGATGTGTACCCAACGAGAGGTAATGCATCTTGTCACCTCAGCTGAACTAGCTTTCCATCTGAGATAAGGAGGAAGATTCTTAAGTCACTCTGGTGAGAAGGAAACCAAGAACAATGAAGCCTTTATCAGCTAAAGTCAGGCAGAGAAGATGCTTTTGTGATCAATTTCAGACCAACAGAGAGATCTGTACAGCAAGAAGATCATAGTTTCTTCTGTTGTGCAGTTTATGCATATGCTCTGGTTACAAGATCAGACCCAGATGAACCTTTTCCAGCCCCTGTTGTGACAAAGTGCTGAGCGGTCAGCCTGATAAATATTGATGACATGCTCTTGTTGACTGCCAAAGATGACAACTGGACCATTGGCTGGTAAATATAACTGAGTAGAGGAATCATATATATCCAAACAAAAGATGTTGGGACTCATGAAAGATAAATATGACCTCTATGCTCTTGTGAATTTATGGAGTTAGGTCCATGAAGAAACAGCAATAAAAGGGCACTGGGATTGCCTAGTAGAAGAAAAGGTTAATGGCTGGATGAGTTTGGTGTTCATGGAGCCAGCCCCAAAGAATTGTCAGGAAGTCAAGGAGTCATTGAAGTAAAGTTTCCCTGGAAACATCAGTGTTACTGTTGAAGCAGTTATGAAGGACAACATTTTCTACTTGGACCTAGAACTCAGCCAAATTGTCCCTACTGTCAGCTATCTAATTATGACCTATTGCCTCAACATTATGAGGTTTATCACATTATAGGATATGTGGGAGATTGTCATTCAATTCAGCTTGCGAAGATGAGTATAGTAATATATGAGGTGCAATAAAAAAAGTTTCATGCCTGGGCCTTCAGTTTAGTCATGTTATCTCTCTGATGCTGGTTCTCCTTTAAAGCATGCCTGTTAAAATGCTATGCACCTGCACTGATGTTTCTGCAACTGCTGCAGAAACCTATGGAGCTCCTCTACCATAATGGTACTAAAGACATCCACATTCCATTGAATTTTTTTGCAAATCATGTTTCTTTTCATGGGAGACTTCAACTTGGGAGGGAAAAGATGTCAGGGAGTGATGATTCTGGTGAATGTGGAGGATGGTTGAGCACCATGACAAATTGCCTTCCAAGAACTCCCTTTCATTGTGCAGCAGTATATAGTTCTTGATGACCACATTGCTGGCCATTTTCTGAATACACAATAGAATACCAGTTGTCCCCTGACCTTGTGGCAGAAAAATCTTTGTGTACAGCACTGGTCCTGTCAGAGAATATTGTCTCCATTTGACCTCTGTATATGGACCATCTTCTGTGAGGTAGTTTGGTGCAGGACAATCCATCATTGTGCTCTGACGATTTCCCATGTTCCCTGAACCTATCACTCCTGCAACATAGAAGAAGTCAACTCTTACCTGAAAGTCGCACCATGGAAGAGGCACACTACTTGCGAAAATATCGACGTGATATAACTGGCTATGGTCGGAATTCTCCCTCCCTCTTTCTGAATACCCCTCTTTTTTATATTTTCTGTACCCTCTTCACATCTTATGCCCTCCTGGAATAATAAAAAATCTAATTATAAAGTTTATAGACTCAATGTTGTAGTTTGCACACCATACAGAATCCTTAGATGGGTAAATGCCAATCAGTACTTCTGGAAATGTGTTGCATGATTTTTCTTTGCAATTGTTTAATAGTAATAGTATATGAGGTGTACTTTTTTTTGCATTTTGCCTTGCAGCTGAAAGCCTAGCCAGCAATAAAGTTTGATTGATTGATTAATTGATTGACCTATCTCTCCCAAACTTCTTCCTGTTCCCCATGTCTCTCATGTAAGGCGGATTAGGATGATTTACAGGGCTGTCAAGGAAATGTGGATGTCATCCTTTGTATATGAGTACCATCACAGTGGATGAGGTCCATCAGTGTTTCCAGCAGCTGCAGACTCATGGGTACAGGTTTATAGCATCCAAAGGGCCATATATTGAAGGAAACCCAGAGTTATAACTCTCACAATGTCTAATCTGTGGGTTCAGCCCCTGAAGTTTTTGGTTTGCATTTTGTGTATGTTGAGGAGGTAGGTTGACAAGAAGTGCCCAGTTCCTATCAAATGACAGCTTAATCATTTGATGACTTATGACAAGTAAGCTGTCCTTAGTGTCATTGCTCCTACAGTGCGGCATGAAGGATTGAGCTACTGTAGGAGAGGACAACTGGTGCTGCACACACAATATGGCAGCTCTGTGGTGTCTTGTATATGGTAGGCACCAACCCACATAACAAGAAGCAGCAGCATTGCTAGAGGACCTGAGACATTATAGAAAGTGCTGGCATAGGGTTATATGATTTTTTTTATTTTTGTTTGACATATTTCAACAAATATTTCAGCTCTAGGGAGTGTCTTCATTTTATTTTAATATTACATTTTTACCTATAGGAAGGTTTTCTGGACAATATTCAGCATATTCTGACTGGTTGTTTCAGTTTTGGCTGGAAATGTCCTTGTGCCTGAGAATTGGTTTCGATTTTGGCTACAATACTTTCATATTTGGCAGAGGTCCTTTTGATTTCAGCAGACTGACACTATAAAGGTGTGACATTTTACTATTTCTGCCAATGTTTAGGATTTTCCTCTGGAATTTCCCTGGAAGTAAACATGCCCATGCCCAACTCTCTTCTTCCCCCTTGCAGCTACTTCATTACGACTTTCTTTTCCCCATTCGCATCAAGTGACTTTTCGGTTCTTTTATGTGCAACAGATAACTATTATCTACCACATTAGGATAATAATAATAAAAATCTCAAAGATATATATTGTTGAGGGACCTCAATGAATTTTTTGTTTTCAAATAAACTATGTTAGACATGGTGGTTTTGGCATGGGCACAGCAAAACAACACCACGGGTCAATATGCCAGATGCTGCACCCTTGTCATTTCTCCAGCAATGGATATTGCTAAAGAACAGAAATGTTTCTCAACACAGTGATGTCTTGGAAGTTCTTAAACCCTCTGAAAAGTGAGATTTATTCACACTCCTGGGACGTTTTGAAAACAAAAAATTCATTGAGGTCCCTCAACAATATATATCTTTGAGATTTTTATTATTATTATCCTAATGTGGTAGATAATAGTTATCTGTTGCACATAAAAGGCAAAAAATGCAGTGAACTCAAAATGAGTAATTTCTACAAAACTTGAAATTTCATTAAAACTTTGAAAATATAAACTTATGAGCATACTTCTCAAAGGGTTGTTGTGGAAGGGAAGGCCTGAAAAAGCTCAGTACATTCTGATTGATTGCACTGGCAATTTCAGAGGATTAATGTCATTGTCCCCTTACTCAAATAGTAAAGTAATCAGAAGTTGCAACCCAAAAGCTCACACTTGATCACACAAAAGCGCACAGATTGACAACACACAACACAGAGGGAAATCAGGCTTTGCCACAAAAGGTCTGCATGACATTTCCTGTCTGTCAGAGTGAAATCTAGTAGACTTCTGATCAAGGCTGCACATACAATGGATAGAACTATATTTTAGATTGATTTTTTTGTATCAGCTGCACACAAACAGGATCATATAGTCATGGACTGAGTGATCTTGCTCATATGCTACCATTTGGAATGGTCCTAGATCTTACAAGGGTGCTTCAATGTTGGAGGGATGAAGAGGATAGGGAAAAAGCGCATTGCCATCTGTGATCGATTTTACCTTGGAGGCCCTCTTAACCTCAGGGGTTTTCAGATGAATGGAGTTGGGCCTCATTCTGGTGAGAGTGCTCTTGGAGCTGAGGTAGGTCTTTTTTTGCCTTATTTTTTTTTTGTACTAGATGATGTTGAGATTTCACCTTGATTCCTGACAATTGTCTCTTTAAGGGCTTCTGGGCTCTTGGCATTCACCTGTATTCCCCCTTGCCTGGCTTGGGAAACCGGGGAATCTCTCGGGTTCTCAACACTCACTGCTTTGTCAATGCTGGTGACATTGGTGCTCTTCCATCACGTACGATCTCCTTCCATTATATGCATGCTATATACAAGGTCTGTTCAAAAAGTATCCGGACTGGTGCGATTATAGACAGAATATGGTACTTACAGGGTTTGGGGCTTAATCTCCCTTAAAGTAAGTTCCTTCTGAAGCGACACACTTTGCCAAATGATCCTGCTACTCTTTAAAACATTTTTCGAAAGCACTTCTCGGGATGGCCCAAAGCTGCTCCGTCGAATTTCTTTAAATGGTCTCGACATCATAGAAGCGGTGTCCTTTCAGGGTCTTTTTGAGCTTTGGAAACAAAAAAAAAGTCGCATGGAGCCAAATCTGGCAAGTATGGAGACTGCTGTACTTGGGGGGGGGGGGTAGCATTTTTGGCCAAAAATTGCTGGACAAGTTGGGAAGAGCGAGAGGGCACGTTATCGCGATGAAGCATCCAGTCTCTGGAGTCCCACTTCTGGGGCTGTTTCCTACGAACTGCTCCACGTAGACGTCTCAAACTTCAATATAAAATTCCTTGTTGGTTGTTTGTCCCCGTGGAGCACACTCAAGGTGCACACCTTCACAGTCAATAAAAGCCAGTAACATGACCTTAGTTTTACTGCACACTTGTCACGCTTTTGTTGGTCGAAGGACTCTTCACTCTGTCGACTGCTGCTTGCGATGGAACCAATCAAAAACGTGTGTATGGGCCATAGCATTGACACTGTATGCTACTTTGAGTAAATCAAAAGTTTCACTGACCGTTTTCCCAATTTTAAAACAAAATGTAATACAAACACGTTGCTTGGTACTCTCCGACACCGTAAAAATCGCTGCGAGACAAAAAACCTTTATCCTTGTCGGCTCGACACAGTGGACTGACGCTACGCAATGAAGTGCAACCCTATCAGGCAACACGTCTCGACATGCAAAGACATGTTGAGCACAGTCAAAACTCCGAGCGTGACCTTATTTTTAAAATAAACACCCAGTCCGGATACTTTTTGAACAGACCCGTATATATGTATGTATGTATATATGTGTGTATATCAAGACAAAACCACAAGTGAAGTTATAACCTTGGAGTGGCCCTATGGGGAACAAAAAAAAAAGGCTTAAATTTGCAAAGGGAAAAGTTGGCAAAAGCCTAAGGCCTGAATGCTGATAACCTTGTTTAGGTGGCCTCAAATACAAACGAACAGAGGACAAGTAACGAAGAGGCCTCAAACACAAGAACTACTGGAGCTATCATTTTGACAGCTGTGTTAAAAGTAGTAGAAAAACATTATTCTGGGAAAAAAAATTTTTAATTTAAGATATTATTTTTTATGTTCTAAATGTTTAAATGCAGATATTAAGACATTTCATACTGATAATGAGAAATCTCATGTTTTACCTGCCAGGGGTTGAGGACAGGGCTCGAGAATCTTTGTGTAGTAGATGTGTAAACTCTTGCCATCTGTAGTCATCTCCTTGTACTTTATGGACTGTGCTGTTGATTACTATAGATGTGTAAGATTTCTTAAGTTTCAATGTATCTGCATATTTCTATTTTTACTGCTTTGATTGTCTTTTTTAACCCTTAAACGACCAAGCTGGGTCAAATTTGACCCAGAGCCTATGTTATAATATGTGAAACTTCGAGGCTTGGTAGTTTAAGGATTAAGTGCATGCCGGCATCTAGCGTTGCTGAAAATGTTTGGGAACTGGAGATGTGTTTCTGCAAGGGGAATCATTGGCCCTTATTTCTTGGGAGAGAATGGAGTGACTGTGATGGTGAGCTCTGAACAGTAATTGGATATGTTGCAGAATTATTTTGTCCCTGAATTGTAATGTGGTGGAATGATAAACATATTGTTCCAACAAGATGGGGCAACTTATCACACTGCCAGAATTGTTGTGTTTTATGGCAAGAGTTTTGAGAAAGAATAATTTCTCAGCTCAGCACTGTGAAGTGGCCCCCTGGATCCCCGATCTGTCCCTGCCTGATTTCTTTCTTTGGGGGATGTTAAATGCTGATGTTTACAAGATGCATCCCAGGAATAGAGATGAACTTCAAAGCAAAATTACTGAGGCTATTGCTGCAACTGATGAAGAAACGCTCAGGACTGTTAAGAACAACATGTTAGTTTGATGCAGAGAATGCATCAATTGCAAAGGACAACATTTAGAGTGTAATATTTAAAAAAATAGAACTATGATAATTGGTTTTAAGAATCTGCTATGGTTGTACTTCATTTTTCTGTTATAAACTTTTGTATAACTTATTTCAGTCCCATTTTATTACAAAAACTAATGTGTCAGAGTTAAATGGACCATCCTATATATGTCATAATGCCAGAAGCTGACTATTCCCTTTTTTTTCTAGAGGATGTTATAAGTTCTAGTGAATTTTCGCATAATTTTTTGTTTTGCTTTTTTGCTTTAACATGGAAACTGTCTCCTGATTGTAACCAAAAAAATTTTGAAGAAAGGATTAAGTTGGTAAATATGAGGGGAAAAAGGGAAAAAAAAGAAATATCTTTGCAATAAAATCTTGAAACAAAATTTCTGCATGAAGGGAAACTGATTCCCATAGTTTTTATATATTTTTCAGTGGCAAGATTGGGAAGTGTCTTGCTGTCTAGTTGAAAAGTTTCCTTCAAAAACTATGGGGCACAGTCAATTTTAAAGTTTTTTAAACAGTAGCTTGCTGCTGGTGACTATCATTGCTTAACAGGGAATTCCAAAAAGGGACCTTTCACATGGTAAGGCTCAGTTCTTCACCTTTCCCTGCCAATAACTTTTCAGCTATTCCTTTAGAAGCAACAAAAAAAAAGTGGAATTGAATCAATGGATTTGACCAGGGCCATGCCCTGATTGGGATTCTGTTGAGCTTATACTTTTTAGCTGAAAGGTCAGTGCAAGTAGGCTTCACTTTCTCAGTGTCTCTACTAAGGTCTCTTGATAGTACAAATTGGGAACAGCCATTTGTGTTGCAAATGGATCCATTTGTGGTATGGCAGATATAGGATCACCTACGCTAATTCCATTTATTTCTGCTCTTATGAAAAATTCTTAATGAAACATGCCATGTTCCCAACAGGTTAGTGAAGCATGATCAAAATGTTTTTGTTAAAGGAAGTTACCAGTGATTACTTATAGTCGGAAATTGCACATGCATTGATTTCCACAAGGCATACAGAACAAATACTTAATGTGTTCAATTTGGAGCCTGGTTGATCACTAGGGCTGATTTCTTGAAAAAATTGTGTTCTTTGATTCTTATAGCTCAAGCATTATGGGAGGGATTGAAGTTGAATGAGGTCATGAGGAAGCGAGGCCGAGCATCCTTGGGTGTGGGACTTGTTCTTCGAATGGGTGAAGTAGCAAGGCTTGAGCTCAACTATTGTGTTCCCTTAGCCTGGCAAAAAGATGATCGTTTAGACCATGGGTTTCAGTTTGGCATTGGTGTCAATTTCATCTAGCATCCATTCTTCCACCTCCCTGGTACCATTGTGAGTATCCCTCTAGCTTTATTTCACTCTATCCTCTTTTTCTTGCCAGCCTCAGCTTCCTGTGTTTTTGCCTAGTTTCTTGTAATGAATGTTGAGTAAGAATGAAGTTTAGTACAAGTGAATATTACAACACCTGGTTTCATTTATGCTTCTCTTGCATATAAATGAAGTGACATCACTTCCACAATGGACTGAAAAAAGTATTCACTGTTTGAACAAATCCATCAAATCATCATACTGTGTCACCTGTGGCTGCTGTTGAGTCAATTGATTCTGAAGCATTTGAGATTGCTGACCAGCAGCTTGGCCTTGTAGCTGGGCTTGTAATTGACTTGGAATACTGGTCATCATCTGACCTTGTGGCATCATTTGAGCTTGACTGAATGTTAGCTGTCCTCTTACTCCTGGTTGTTGCTGCTGAAAGAACATGCGTTGCCGAAGCTGGTGCTGCTGCTGCTGCTGTTGTTGTTGCTGCTGTTGTTGTTGCTGCTGCTGTTGTTGCTATGTTCAAGAGAAACACCCATAACATGAGATGGATAATATTAATACTTCCCAACCTGGAGCATACAAGCATTGCTGGTCACCCTGCAGTTCCTGTGGTGTTCAAAAATTGCAACATTATGCAAAAATGCACACCAAGGCAATTGAGGGGGGGAAAATTAAACTTGGCACAAAAGGAAGAAGATATCATAGCCAGAAAGTTGTAAGTCCCTGTAAGAGAATCATAGATTACATAATTCACACAGAGTATTTAAATTGAGGAGTTCTCTGGAAAAGGGGCATATGTGCCCCTTTTCCATATACGTGTCCATGCGCTGCTTTAGGTGACTAGTCATAGGATAGGGTGGTCAGCAAGTAGTTAAGATGAGTATTCAGCAATGGAGAAGCAGATTTTCCTATGTTCTCACTATGTAGCAGGCTAACTGCCTGGCAATTTCAATATGGCTGCCTCAATGAATATTCCATTAGCATTTGCATGCTGAACGATTTTGGTGGAATTATTTTGTCCTTTTAAACTGAAAGTGAAAATGAGGAAGAAACCTGACATGAGGAAAGGGAAAGAAAGAGGCAGAGTCATTCAAGCCTCTGGAAGGATGTGAGAAGTTGGAGATATTCATGAAATAGTTGCAGATTCAGATGATGAATACATTAATAATAGATCACTGCTGAGTAATTGGCAAATGAAACATGTCCTGAATATTCACATTTTTCTTGCTATTCTTTAAGAAAGAGTTTATTTAAAATCTATCTATGCATTTATTGATTAAATATTATTTTTAACGGGAAAGAAGTGGTGAAAGACTCTTAGGGAAAAGTTTCAGCAGCGTGTATATGGAAAAAGGGTGTATGTGCATAAACCCTTTCTGCCTGCATCCCAGCAATGTGAGATAAAGAAATTAATTAAAACCGTAAGTTCATTTTGAAAAATGTATGAGATTCCATTTTACTGATAATTAAGTTTTGACCAGCTTCGGATTAATTATGGGAAGTTTTTATAGTTTATCTCGAATTGCATCCTTTGCACATATGCCCTTTTTCCAGAGAACTCCTCAATTGTTTTCCTCTGCCTCCTAACTTCTACTTCTTTCAACATTTCTAACAAGGCCCTGAAAATCTTTACTAGCTCACAAAGGTTGAGAGCCACTGGATAAAAATCTATTATATTACACATGGAAAACGTTGCATTTTAAGCCTTTTAGTACCAGGTTTTCCACAACCAGCAGCGCCTGATGATACAGCTTGGACAAATAGGGAAATATGAATCAAATTGTAGGGATAGCAGCACAATCAAGCAGGATGACTAGAGAGACACTTTGCCACAGCAATATATTAGCTGTACCAGTACAACCACAACAATTCACATAAAACTTGAGGATGTACTGGTAGGTACATGGTACTGAAAGAATTCAGTTTAAAAAATGTACACCCTTTTGATATTCCATTAAAAATTTATATCTGGTGATGTCAGCTTCATCATATCAACCCATCAAACAAGAAATATCATTTCCTGATAAAGCACTTAATGCTGCAAATGTTTCAAGCAGTAGTGCAGCACCAGCAAGCTGCCATGAAGCATCATTTCCATAATACCCCAGAGTGGAATAAAATGGACACCACAATTCAATCCTTGTGCAAATTTAGGAGGTAGTGGATTTAAAGTAAGTTACCTGATGGGTGGACAAATAAAACAAAGCCATATCTTGTTTTAAACCTGTTGGCTTTGATGATTGGACCAAGAGTCACATAACATGTGAAGATAGGTTGCAAGATTCCACACCCCATTTAGGTTAAGTAAAATATAACATTCCAGCGTCTAATGCTTTTGGTCATATATTCTTTCCAGCCCATTTTCATGGATCTTGTATATAAAAAAATATACTTGTAGTTTTCTCACCTCAAATTTAAATGCTTCATACATATCAGCTGCAATTAAATCATAGGTGGACAATATCTGCTTATATCCCCTGCTGCTGGATAAATGCCTTGTGAATGAAATATTGAACAAAATAATAGGAAATCATAACTGCTTTCAGTCCCCTGGACATGTGGTGAGCAGAAGGGTTAAATGCTAAACATGGTTTTGAGAATGCTTTTCCACTTCTTTTCACAGTAACATGAAACTTGTCCTATAACTTGAAAACATTTTGGCCCTATAAATGAAACACCCTAAGAAAACTGCAAAGCTGAGCTGCTCCTGATTAAATCAGGATTTTTTCCCTCAAGAGGAGAGAAGGAAATGCAAGATGAGTCAAGGAGACTAAGGCCTGAATGCTGAAACCTCATTTAAGTGAGATAAAGGGGTATTTATGCTTAGAAGTTCCTTTTCCTCCACAAGAGTCCATGGATTCTTAAAAGACCATTAACTACTAGGTTTCAGCATTTGGGCTCAAGTTAATTTGTCTTCTGATCCAACAATGGACACAGATAGCCATCCTCCACACAAGACAAAGCATACTCCCAATGTAGAAAAAGAAAACATTACAAGAAAAACCTGATAGTTATGTAGTTTAAGTCCATTTAGGCTTTGAAGATAGAGCTGAAAAATGGCTCAAATGTACATTTTTTCAACTTTCAACCAATGACTGGAAATGACTGTTACATGTGTCATGAGAATCACTCTAAGGCAGTGGTTCCCTATCTTTTTTATTTGTAGCACATATAGGGACACTTGAACTTTCCACGGCACACCCAGCCATTTACTTACTTTCAATGGGAAACTTGTGATTGCTTCACTGAACACAGCAGTTTGATACAAGGCATGATAGTGCAACTCTAAGCTTGTTTTCCACTGAGAGATGGCTTTCCCTCTTGTTTTTAAGTTTTTTTAGTTTAAAGTTTTTAGTTTTTTTGTCAACTCTCAAATCTCACAGCACACTGTTTGGGAAACACTGCTCTAAGGGTCCATGTGCACTGTGATCAGATATGTTGCGACTACTGTGACCATTGCAATTGGTTGCACTGGAGATGCGTGGGACCTTCACATTTGGTTGTAGTATGCTTCATAATGAAATTGGCAGAGTCAGTTCCTGTTGCATCTTTGCAGTGATCCATGCTGCATATCTACTGACTGCAAGTTATGGAGCCCTTAGATAATATTTTGGCAGCTCTTTTGGTGGAATGACTTCAGCTGTAGATGAGATGTCAGATATCACCATTAAAACTCCATGAGTGAGATACCTAAATATATGAAAATCTTCAAGAGATGTCTCAATGTCATTTATATTCCTTTAAAATCTTCCTCTTTTTTTTATTCTATCCATGACATTTTATTTTTTAAGTTAAGAAGCACCTGTTCTTTGAGTGCTAAAGTCATACCATCCTTTAAGAGAGCGCTGCATGACTTATAAGTATTTGAGACATACAGAATATTTGTATTAAGTATGCATGTACCCATCTTAGGGTCACTACCACCATCTGCACTGAAGAAATGTATGGTCTGAAGTTTGTGCCCTGCCCTCTTCTCTAACAAACCAAGGAGATGTTCTCGTGGACACAGGAGAAAATCACTCCTTGTCTTTGGTAATAATCTTTTCTACTAGAGTAATGAATTCTCCCATCTGAAGTTGGGATATGTGCATGTAGGACATACCTACCACTGTCAAGCTTTTTCTCCTCTGGGGTAACAAAGGAAAAGTGTTGCAGCACAAGTTCTCAAGTTGTACAAAGCCATGTTGGATTATGCTTGGGTGATCTACAACCAGTGGGAGATACTTTGCAGATGGTCACAGTGCGGCTTTGAGGCAGCTCTTTGTAGTCAGTGTGCATCAGCCTTAATGAACCTGCTAGCCAGCTGCTGCATTGGTTAAAGAATCCTTTCTGGTTCTCCAATTCCTAAGCACTTGAAATCCTGACAGTTGATCAAACATTTCCACGGAGAAGGGAAAAACAAGGAACCAACCTGTAACAGATGACGTAGACCAGGATTGGGCGTGTGTGGGAATCTGGGTTGCATAGGTCTTGTCTGCTGCTGCTGCTGCTGCTGCTGTTGCTGTTGCTGTTGCTGTTGCTGTTGTTGTTGTTGCTGCTGCTGTTGCTGTTGCTGCTGCTGTTGCTGTTGCTGTTGCTGTGGTGATGGCTGCTGCTGGTGCTGAATGTTCCTCAATTGCTATAAAACAGGATGATCATTTATTACTCTCATGTTTGCTGATGAGATCAAGTCATGAATGGAGAATAATTCCCTTAACAAAGGCAACATCAACAATTGCATCATGATTCCCTGATGAAAGGAAAAGAAAAACTAAAGGAAAAAAAAAAAGATGAAAAAAAGAGAAGCATTGAATGAGCATCTAAGTTGCACAAAACAAGACCAAGGAAGATGGGTTGCATGCAACCAGAGTGGTGACACAGGTACCTGTGCCCTGAGAAGAGGCTCCTTGGTCACTGGAGGGGGACCAGGCTCAGCAGGACCCTTTCCGCAACCTTCAATCTATCAAGGCAAGAGATGTACAGCATCGAGTGCTCGTAGCTGTTAGTATTTTTGCCAATCATGTCAACATTCCCATTTTCCAGAGAGAGTTAGAAGGGTCTTGCTGCATGCATATAGAGTAGCTTGCACAAGAATCATTTAAAGAAACTGGTATCTTCTTACTTGTGCCTGTCTCAGCTGCTGTTCTTTGAATTGGGCTGCATCAAGGGAAGCTTGGAGTTGCTGAATCTGAAGGAGATTCTGTTGTCTCTCAGCCTCAAGGTGGGAGAATTCCCCAGTTCCAGTACTGGGACCTTGACCTGATGGGCCTGCACTTCCCCCAGTCGTGACTCCTCTACCTGCACCTCCAGGGCCTGGTTAAAGAAACTCTGAATGACTTCATCAGGGTTACAAATGTGTTACAGTACTGATTATGTCAGCTAGAGCTGTTCCAAATATGGTATCTGCAGCAATATGTTTCAAAAGGACAAAGTCTATCATCCCAAGGACAACAACCTGAGCCCTTATGGACCTGCAATGTCTTACTGAAATATGTTTCTTGCAGGTTCATTAACATTTTCATGCAAGAATTTTTAAAGCAAAACAAAAATATGCCATTTTTGGTTTAACATTTAAGGAGGCACTCTGCCATAGCAGTCTAATGTTCTACTGCTAGAAAGCAACACTGAACAGATTATGTGCCCTTGAGTTGACTGCACACACCAAAAGTTTTGAGGTATGTGTACCATGGCTGAAAACTCAATTTTTGCCAAAATTTTGCTGTCCACTACAGTGGACACTGTGCACGAAAGGGTTAAAAAGCTGACAAGTTCCCTACATAATGATATTTAGTTCAAAATGGCTCTTTCAAATACAACTTCCAACCTATATAACTCACATTCATGCATCAACTCCAAATACTTTTCAACATAGTCCTCCTGCTTCCTTTTGCAAGACTGCCATATTTTTATCCACATGAGGTTGTACTGGGCAGATGTTTCTTTGGGGATATGTCAGAACCACTGCTGAATAACACTTCAAGGGGGATAGTGGTGCCCACTGTGACTTCATGAGTTTTTCAAGCAACCAAAAGTCCCTGGGGGCAAGATCTTGAGAGTGAGGTGTATGCAGCAACACTTCAGTTCCTTTTCCTTGAAGAAAGTTGCTAACGACTTGGGCTCAGAACATTGTTGATTTGCTCCCACCCAAAAAGTTCAAGACTGTGGTCAGTGCTTCCAAGAATTACTGTACCATCTTTTGGGACATGAAGGGCCTACTGGTTATTTATCCTGTACCTTCTAGCTCAACTATCACTGGGTATTACTACAAAGACCTGCTAGCCAACAAAGTCCTTCCAGCAATCATGACCAAGATAAAACCTTCCCTTGTTGAGAGTGATTCTCAACCAGGACATTGCTCCTTCTCACTGAGCTCAAGTTGTTAGCTACTTCCATTAAGAAAAATGAACTGAAGTGCTGCCACATCCCCCTCACTCTCCTGATCTTGCTCCCAGCAACTTCTGGTTGTTTGGAAAACTCATGAAGTCCCTCAGTAGACACTGCTATCCCTCCCAAATTGCTCTCAGAAGTGCTATTCAGCAGTGGCTCTGACCCACCCCCAAACAAATGTTCACCCAGTGCTACCTTGAGTGGATAAAAACATGGCAGCCTTGCAAAAGAAGCAGGGGGACTATGTTGAAAAGTGAATGATGCAAATTGGAGTTATACAAAATAGTTTTTGTTTTATTGAACTACTATGGAAACTTTTTGACTGCACCTTATACAGTGGCACCTAGTGTGAAAGGATGATCCCCCATGCATAAAAAAATGCAATGAGGATCATCTTTCCAACAGAGTGCCAAGAGCAAAATTTCCTGAGTGGTGTGGATAAGAGTACTTCCATACAAGTGAATGTTGCTTTGTCTCTGAGTCATTATGATAAATACAAGTCTCATTTGCTGAAACAATATGCTGAAAACTGTGTTCATCAGCATTGACATGGTCCAGAAGACTTTGACACTCCAGAACTCCATTTTTTACACTGCTTCTCAGACAGATCATGGACAACCCACCATGCACATATCCATTGCAGCTTATGGTTCTTGATCATGGCTGAGCTGACCAATATTATATATCAGCAAGGTTTCAGCTACCTGATGAATTGTTAATCGACAAACTTCCTTTGGCAGTGTACAAACAGTCCCAATGCTTTTATCTGTTGCTGATTTTGATGGCCTCCCAGAACATAGATCATCACCAACTTCTCTCCTTCCTTTGAAAAAAAAGCTTATGCCACATGAAAACTGCTGACCTCTTTTAACACCAATATCCCAGATTTCCATAAGCTGCCTTCATCATCTCAAACATTTCTGTGGTGTTTTCCCTAACATGAATCCAAAATTCAATTGCACATCATTGATCCACATCAAATGACACACTCAACTGACATCAAAATGTTTTTGTTCATTGATGACAATGTTCATGTATTGCCTGAATGTACAGTCTTCAAATTTGGTTCAATAAGTAGGGATAGGCTAAAAGCATGCCTGAATATGTTTTACAGTTAAACCACATGATGCTCAGTTCTCATAGCCCCTTGTAGATACCAATTAATGTTTCACTCTGCATAAGGAGTTCCTTTCTTTGAAGCATTGAAAAACACAGGCATCCTGAGTATTATATCAGATGTTGCAGATATCATGACACCTCTAAGAATAACAGAAAACAAAGTAGTGCATGTATCTGGTAAAGATCTTGTCCAATGAGAGCTGGTCACAACTTGCATGTGACGTCTTTGCACTGACCTGGCATCTGATTCACTGTTATCTGGGTATTGGCTGATGAGATCGGAAGGTTCATGGTCATCCCTCCAGGAACAGGATTTGGAGTTGAAGGAGGGGGTGTTCCGCCTTGCCCCGGAGCCTGGAGGTGTCATGAGTCATAGAATATAAGGAAAGAAACAAGCATGTAACAACCATAATTTGACATCTTTGTAAATGATGCATGACCTCACCTGCCGTGTCTGCTGACGAATAGCTTGCTGACTCTTCTGTTGCCGTATGACATCCCTGATTCGCTCCACAAAACCTGCCTGATCGTTTGGAATGAAGCCAACATATGCTTGTTTCTCAGGACTGAGGAGGAGCATGAGAACTTTAATGTCACAGGGAGGTCCACCAGCTGTCTGGAAATGCACACATCCTGCCTGGAAGATGGAAAATGAAAGTAGTTAAATCTGAGGATGTCCAACTTCTTGAGTGAATGAATGCTATCTGGATGTTGGAGTCTTACCAGGCCTTGTGCCATGACCTTAGCCAGATTATCAAGAGCTTCACTGGGTGCAGGATGAAACAAAACAGAATGAGCATTCTTGAAATATTGCCCACCCAGTGCCACAACCAATGGTTTTGGGATCAGTTGCATAATAAGCTTCTGAGGCCAATGCTCAGCTTTTCTGTGCATAACAGCAAGGCATACAATGTACTCAAAAAGAATAGCACATTGCAGTAACTACATAAATAACATGTGATGCTACTCTACTCCTTACATTTCAGGTTCTCCATTCAAGTCAACTGAACAGGAGACCTTGCAGGGTAGCTGACGGGGAATCTTCATCTCTGTTGGCCCTTTCACTTTTTCTATCCATTCTAGTACTCCTTCCCAGATGAAGCGTCGATGCTTGGCCCCACCCAGTTGCTGTTGTTGCTGATCTTGTAAATTGATTCCCACGCCAAGCTGCTGCTGCTGCTGTGGTTGAGACTGAGCCATGCTGAGATCCCCTTGCATCCCCATTCCTAATCTTGGTCCAGTCATGCCCATGTTTAGATTCTGCTGAGGCATAGATGTCTGTGGCTGGGATGATGGCTGAATAAGTTGATGCAATAGAGAATTTGATTGAGTCTGATTTGTAGCTTCTTGTTGTTGTTGCTGCTGTCTTTGTTGCACCATGGTGTACTGATTTTGCTGAGGGAAAACAGGGCCTTGTTGCTGCATCACTCCTTGTGGGTTCATTGTCATTCGAACTGTTCCTTGCCACTGTTGTGTCTGCTGCTGTTGTGGAGGCTGTAGTTGTGACTGTGGTTGAGGTTGCTGAATTGGCATGGCATTCATCATGCTTACGTTGACCATGGGACCTGGTATGGAGGAAAGAACAATGGACATTATTGCTTACCATGCTGTCAGTGTAATGTGAGCAGGAGAGGCCACATTACTCAGCTGTGAATCTGCCAAGCCTCTGCTGGTGCTTTTCATCAGGTGGAGATGCAGTTTGCTACAGTGTGAAACTATTCATTTTTCAATACTTCTTTTCATGCCTCTTCTGCCTCTTCTTCCTCATCTCATCTTCTTTACCAACTTCATCTTTCTCTATAGCTTCCCCAAAGTTTTTTAGTTATATGCATGGATGAGGGTGGATACTGTGAATAGTATGAAAACACAGGCCCAGTTCTTGGGGTGGGTGAACTGGGGCATCACCCATGGCATCAAACCACGTATAGTGGCGAACCAAGTTATGGAGAAGTGACAAGTCAAAAGGATGTTTTATGTTAATATCATGGTAATGCTTCATATCATCCAATGCATCAATCAAAATTACTTGAGGGAATTCATGATTGATCCATGAAAAGCTGGAATGCTTTGTTTGGTCAAAACTTCCATAAAACCCCATTACAAGTAAATTTTTTAAACCCTGCAACTATCAGAAGTTGGATGGTCATATGTTTGACTCTGTTTTATTTCTTAATTTCCAAAGAATCTCTTCAAAATACTTTGCCTAATTACTACCATGTGAAAATACAGGGAATATTGGACTTGACAAGTTTACACTGCAGCATACACAAATGGCTAAATTTTTGTATCAGGGTCCATTGATCCCAGAATGGTAGTTATAGGGCAATGCAGAAATTCTGGAGGCCATACTGAGGTTGTTTATCATTAGCATTTTATTAGATGATATCTCTACCAGAACTAAAGTTATGCAGCATTGAACCATGTAGCATTTTTTTGGCTTACTCTGTCGTACCTGCTGAAAAACATATAGATAGAAACAAGGTGTTTAATAAACACCATGCCTGTCACTCAACCACCTTTCTTCTCTCATGATTAGCTGTGGAGCTGCATGAGGACACAGGGTACAAAGTGAAAGAAGCAAAATGCATTCCATGGATACCCAGACCATACCCATCACCTTCATGCTTCACTTGGCTGGCACCATGGGATTGGGATGCAGGAAATTAATTTGGTCCTTGTGTTTCATACCCACCTCATCCACTATGACATTTTCAAGGAGATGGAATACCTATAAATTATGAATGAAGCTACAGAACTCATTTCCTTTCCCTTGACAAGCAACATGCAGCATGGACTAAGATCTGTTTGAACCTATCTCACCTGAACACCTAAGCAAACTTTAGAGGTGACACTGCCAATTTTCTGATGATGTGTGACCTTCAGTTAAGTATGGATTTCCATGTTGAAAAGCAGTTGGATGAACCTGAACAGTTCATGTGCAACCATAACCTTTCTGGTAGCATATAGTGAATGTTTCATTCATAGATTGTTCTGATGCAGTTGGTTAAAAGTGAATGCATTGATTTCTCAAACCAGAAATACCTCAATGTCATTATCAAACAGGGACAAGAAGTACTGCACAGTACTGTCACATATGTTAAGAAGCTGGATTCATCCATAGGTCAGTTGCAAGAGTAAATGGACATTATCAACTTCATGTCTCTGCAGAGTGCTCTGCAAATAGCTGGTTTGCTTTATCACAAAAAGACTTGCCACTACATGGCAAAGAGCAGTGGAACCTTTGAAATTCAGGCCAAGCAAATAGGAAGCAGACTGACCACAACCCTGCATGCTGTTTCTGAAAATTTTCTGGATGAGAACTACAACAACCTTTATCAAAGCAAATATTTAACTTGGGGAACTTCTGAAAATTAAAGCTACTCTTAGAAAGGTCGTGGTGGTCATTGGTCACGCTACTCCATAAATAGTGCACGAAGTAAAGAGACAGAAACAATATTCTGATGAACAAAATGAAAGGTCTCTTCTCCAAGATCCACTTCTGGATATAGAAAACAACAAAGAAAAATAAGAAGCCAAGCATCTCTGAGCTGAAGGCATGGTTGTGATCATAGAATGATAACTCCCTAACAGGATTAATGAATTATAGCTTGAGGAATTTGTGGTGAGGATGAGGAGTGACATTGGACTAGTTGAAGATGATGTGAAGATGACCAACATGATCAATATGATTGCCTGGATGATTATTATTGGCAGCTTTATAGCCCTGGAGTCTGACAAGTGGTTTAAACAGGCCTGTCAGGTGGGAACCAAGTGACTTGGACTTCAGAGTTGTTGTATTTGGTGTACACTTAAGCAGGGTTATGCTCTTTCACCTAAGTAGAGAATGCCAGGAAATAAGACCGAGAGATTCTATTCATACAGCAGGATCACCCAAGCTTCAGCCAAATGAAACGATTTGGGTGATAACCAAGAACCCAGTCACACATCAGTCTGGTAAGACAAGAAAGAAACTAAGTGAGAGAATTCCCATCAATTCAAGAATCTCATCACACCATGGATTTGAGGTCTGCTCAGAAATGGGAAGACTAGTACCAGTAGTGACTTGATGAGCATGAACTGCTGGGAGATGATGAAATTATCAATGATTCTTAAGGTTCAGAGACTCATGGTGATTCCTCTACAGGGTCTCCTTTTTCACCGTTTTTGCCAGTCAATTTCAAGAACGGAAGTGCATAGTTCAACAATGGTGTCTATCCAGTTGACCCAGAACCACCTATTATGCCTACCAAGAGTACAGAATACAGGCATTATGTGCAAGTTTGGGGGTTTCATTTTCATGAGGACAGTGAAATCAACAGAACACAGCCCCCTATGCACTGTCTTTGACAGAACATTTTAGGATAATCATTCTCTTATGTTGCTTGATAATACAAGTCATCCATTGGAAAGTGATATATCAATCACTACTAACCCTCTTCAGATTGGAAAGAATGAATGCACAAGCTGGCAAAACAGAAAATGCAGCTTCCTGATAGTAGAGGGCTACCAGCTCTGGCCAGCCTTTACGTTGAAAACAAAAATAGTTATTAGATCTTTGTGCATACAATGGATAGAATGGCAACAGATGGATGCAATTAATTATAGTGGATGCCAAGAGTGATGACAGTCGAGAGGTGGTATCAGTGGATTGGGTGGAAAAACAGGCTTAAATGAGATGACCCAGAGAATCCCTTGAGGTTTACATTAATGGGAGTTCCAGTAGGTGGTTAGAATGTAATTCTTGAGGTGCATCATGCTGAAATGGCAGTATCCACTACCATGAAGAAGTACCTGCTCCTTATTCACTTCTAACCAGGATATTCCCTACAGAGAAGAACCATGCAGATCTCTATTGATCAGGGGATAAAAATGATAAAACACCAAAAATGATAAAACCCCAGTGTTTCTTACTAGACATGATCCACAGCTACACAGAATGAACTCAGGTTTACATACAGGCCACTGAAGAGCCTTTGCACTTGAACAGTAGCAGCCTTTCCCAGGTCCAGTTTTACACTTAACTTGGTCACCCAGTTTCTTATGTGGGTTCATGCCTAATTGTAATGGACTCGCACAATGACATCACGTACTTTAAAATGAAGAGTTTGACTGCTCTTGCACATCCTCAAAAATGCCACCACAAATGAAGCGCATGAGAACCAAGAAGACTCCTATGAGCATCAGGAATGGTAGAATATCATGACTGCCCATTTGATGATGACCAGTTGTCAGATGCAGTTTTTGACATTTCTCTTGTATTATATTGAATTATTGCTCTCCAGACAGGTTCATAACCAGACAAGTCTCACTTTCAACAATTACCATGCAAGGCTAAGTCAAATACAAGCATGACTTCTGGATGGGAATCTTGGGAATAACAGAAAATCCACATATTTCAACACTGCATGCTGGCTTCACCTTCTGCCAGTCATCTCGTGGCATCGACTCAATGTAATGGTACTCGTCATCCTGAATACAGTGGGTACATCCAGTTATTTAATGCTCCCTCTGTGATACAGGAGCAATTTCATTCAAAGGCAGAGTTGTGCTTTGCCATCATGGAACAAGTTGATCATTCTTGGAGTGTACAATGAGACCCCTCTTCCTTATTTCATTCCATGATGGATGTTCATACATGTGAAAATGAAGTTCAATTGCGAATCAGTTGCCAGTCACAGCAAAGAAACCAATGATTCCAGCATCATGAAATAACTGAATGTACCCAGTGGATACTATGGACATGGAAGAAAGGGAATGTAAAGCTGAGATGTTGCTCTTAACTTATGAATAGATGCTTGCTAATCCCATCCATCCCTAGTGACAGTATCCATAGTATCCAGCACAAGGTTAAGACTCATGACAACTTACTGTCCATCCATATCTGTATCATCTGAAGTATTCACGGAATGCAATATGAAGAATGTGTCAGGAATTAAATCCTGCTTTTCAGTTTCAAGTGTCAGCCATTACTAGTTAACCAATATATCCAGTAAAAGGTGCATGTCAGTGATCGAATTCTCATCCCAAGCATTCATAATTTCCTGTTTTCTACTCCTTATCCAGGTCTGTGAAAACAATGCATCTTCTCCTCTTATGTTGCATCTGAAATAATAGTCTTCAGTAGCAACTGATGCAGCCAGCAAATGTTGCTCAAAAACCTAAAAATGTATGGAGATTGAAGAATGGGTGAACCACTCAAAAAGTCATAGGCACTTTTTGAGCACCTACATGAAGCCTTATATGCTTGAATGTGAGGGACTGGATGAAATCTCATAACAGTCCATCGGGACCACAGCAAATATGGTAATGCTCATACCATATTTAAAACAAAAACTATGGTGTACACAGGGTAAATTGCTACCCTGGTCAATAATAGTAACACTATTTCACAGTCATGTGATACCACCAGAGATTTAGATAATGACTTTTATATAGACAACCCATTACATTATTCTGTGCTTGTCCTAAAGAATGTAGGATTCTACCTAATGCCTCTCCTGTGATGTATCACCTGTAATATTGCACAGTTTTATCATTAAACTGGTTTAATACAGAAGAATCCCAGAATCTGTCAAGTCCACCCTCCAATGTTTCATCATGAAATATCACCCTGAATACCAAGGTTATGAAGACTCTTTTAATATAGAAGCCTGGAATGTAATCTATTTTGTGTTCAACTTATTACATACCACCACATGATATCATCCAGGATATGAAGGTCGGTTGACAAACCAAAGGCTTGATTTTGTGTCTGATATGTACCACCACGCAATGTCCCAGATATGTGATAATATCCATAGTATCCACCGCATCCACTGCATAAAGTCAAGAATATCACATCTGACCCCACCCATCCATATCCACAATATCCATTGTATCCACAGTATCCAGTATGAGGTGGAGTATGCCACGGATCCAATCATTCCGATCTGTATCCACAGTATCCATTGTATCCATCGTATCCAGTACGAGAAGCATTCCAGTGATCCAGTCCCTCCAATCTGCTTCAGCATCTAGGCTCAGACACAAATTGTATCCATAGTAGAAACTGTTTCCTCCTGATGATATTTGTTCCTTGGACAACAGATGAAATAAGAAAATTGCAGATGGGTGACATAGGGATAGTGAAAAAGTGAAAAGGAAGGAGAAGATGGGAAGAGGTGGAAATACAGTCGACTCTCGTTATAACGAAGTCGATGAAGCAGCCAGAATATTTCACTATATTGGGTTTTTGCTGTGTCATATATGTTCACTTAGATAAATGAGTCTATTTTATGCCTGTGTATACATGATTTCATAATCCTGTGGGTGTGTCATGGGGGCCCAATGGCTTTTGAGGGTTTCATGGACACATTAACACATTAGCTGCCATTTATGCTGCAGGCAGGTCACATGGCCTTGTGGTTCAAGCATCAGAAAAATACTTTGGCATCTAACATGTTAAATGTGTAAAGGCCTCCACCACATACCTCCCAAAATCTTGTAAAATTAAACTTGTACAGGATAAATGGAGGGAAAAGGAGCCTGATCACTCCCAACAATGAGACGAGTGCAAGCACTGAAGTGCCTCATCAACTCACATTCATCTGTGTTCATCCCTACCACACTCACATTCACTCACATTCTCCCAACCATGCACAATAGAAACATGCCAAATCCTTCTTGTAGGTTGCATGGCCAAAGCACTGAGGTGAAGGGCTGGATGAAATTAAGAACTGACCCTTCTGTGCTCCAATAATTTTTTTTTCTTTCCTTCTTGACAAGAGGAAAATTTATTACATCCAGTGTCCTTCCTATCTTTATATCTGAATCTTTTATCACGGTTTCTTATAGACATTCCACTATGGAGTGCCAAGGATTTCAGCATAAACAGTACTTCATTATATCCATGTTTGTTATACTGAGAGTCGACTGTAATGTCACACTGCAGCAAACCACACATCAAACCCTCACATATGCCATAATAAAAAAATATATTCCATGGATGCTAATTAACATAGGTACAGAGGCTGTAATGCCTACTCTGGCCAGCAGCATTCCTGGAACACATATACATGGAACAAACAATAGGTTCTTTCCACTCACCTGACTGATTCATTAGAAGGTTGCTTGGCATTGACACATTGGTCATGCTTGGATGGATACTTGGTGCAGGGGTACGAACAGGCATGACTTGGGGGCGTTGGAATGCTGGTACTTGTGGTTGACTGGTTGGAGGTGGAGGGAGAGGGATAGATGGAGGGGGAGGGGGAGGGGGGGGAGGAGGGGGAGGGGGAGGATGAGGAGGTGCAGGGCTTCCACTACCTGGCATGGGACTTGGATTTCGAAGGGAGGGAGCAGTGTTTGATGGAGGAGTAGGCACAGATGTTGTGTAAATAGTCTGTGGTGCTGGTGTTGCCATGGTTGGGGGTGGCACAGTCCCACCAGATTGAGCCTGTGCCATCCCTGATGTTACTGGAGTTTCAGACCTCTCCTGCAAGCTGCAAGATGCCTACCTTCAACATTCCATATTCCTATTTCAAGTATCCACATTTTTTCTCTTCCATCAGCATCACATTTCTATCACCCACCTTTAGGCATGTCTTGGCATTCCAAACTCAGTTACAGTAATACCACCAGAATCACCAAAACTGCCAGTTGTGGGTATGGACTTGTGGAAAAACAATCCATGATAGCTGCCTTGTTACAGTTGATGGATGTTTAGCAGGATCCCATCTTAAGCCTACCACAAAATAACTAAGATACCTGCTTCCTTTTTTTTTTCAGCACCAAGGCACAATGCAGTGTGTTCACCTCATAAGTAACTACTGGGACTTTGGATGTCACCCACAACCAGCAAGCAGTTAGAACCAGAGGGACTGGAAGAACATGCCTTTTTTTTATCATGCTACATTACATTCTGCATCCATACCAAGTAAAAGCTTTACCTAAAGCCAGACAGTAGGACTAGATGTCTAGGATCCTTTGCATAATTGTGGCTCTGGATGAAAGATAAGTCCCCTCCTGCCCTCTCAAACAGTTTCATCAAAGCTGGGATCTTCCGTGGGGACAAGACACTAAAGAATATGTTCTTCTGCAAGATAAAGGAGATAAGAGATAAATTCATAAATTCACTATGCAATCTTCATTGAGCAGCCAAGCAATGGCTTACCTCTGGCATAAGACCAACAAGTTGATCAATCAGCATTCCAGAATATGTAGGTGTCTCTGATACAGGCAAAAGGTAAGGAGGGGAATTGCAGATTAGGATGCAATGCTTTTGAGTTGTGAGGTTCGGTTCTCGGAATTCCAAGAGATCTTCAAAGCACTGAAATGCTGTTCCCACTCCTTCTGCAATATGGGATTGGCTCTCTCCTTGCCCTCCTGCATACCTGAAACAAAAATCCAAACGAAAATTGGACTATTTGGCTTCTCAAACTGTCAAAAACAGGAAAGAAAAAACTGGGATTGTGTCATTAGCAATTACCTAGGGGAAGATTCATAAAATTAATTTACCTCTTCTATGAAAGGAATGGTAAATTCCTCCTCCTTATTAGATGATAGGCTAGGTAAGGCAGAATTTAACACTGCAACTGGAAACACAAAAATGTCATCATTAAGACTGCTTTTTAATTCACCTGCTATTTTATCAGTCATTAATTACAAGTACAAATAATAATCACAATCAGATGAAGGAAAACTGCTCCAAAGTCTTCCATCAGTACCTAAAAAGCCCAAAAACTGAAACTGGAGATTGATTGAGCAGGATCAGGTTATAGAGTACCAATGCTAGTGGCAACAGTTCATAATGGACACCTATTTGTGAACAATTCTATATTTTCTGCTATCTTACAAAACCTAAGCCATAAACTCATGTTCTTGACTGTGTGAGGTTGTCTAACAGTTATGGGAAAAATATGGAGCATTGAAGGATATTAATAACTGGCATAGGCTTTTGAGAAGGCAGAAAACCCAAAACTGTTCACAAATAGGCATCCATCTACAAAGGTGTCTCTACCCTACTTTGCTCTCCTTATACTACAGATTTTCCTGACAAATTTCGACATAAGTTGTTTAAAATTTGGTAGCAGTCATTTCAAATTCAACAGCACTCCTCTCTCCTTTTGGTTTTCCTGTTCAATTTCAGCAGACTTGCTATTTCTGCATCCGCAGTTTCGATTTTGGCAGTGCCAGGGAATATTCTGTTTCTATTGATGCATTAGGGATTAACTGAGGGGCTCCTGAGACAAGTACACTTGACTAGGCCATCAGATGAACCAGTCCATGGCATCATGCATAATACTGGACCCCACAAATGAGTCTCAGTCCCAGATGAGTTTCCTAACATTCGCATGAAGATTCTGCCATAATATTTTACTTTCTTGAATCCAACAGAGCAGGCTCACTCTGCATTCAAGGCAGCTGTCAGGGATGATCTGCCCTTTCTGAACCTAAGATGGAATTTGGAAGACAACCAGGAAAAAGCTTGCAGCGAATTGGACAGAGAAGCTGCTCAAGATAGGAGAGGTAGCAGTTGGGCACATAACACATCAGAAATGCTTTGTGTGCTTTCACCACACATAAAATTAGTTTGATCCCAAAGAAGAGTGCATATCAATAGCTATAATTGCTTCAATATCCATGGACATTCCTCTGAATAATAAAAGAATGATTCCTTAAATTTCCTATGCATTTGCATTGATGAATGCCAGACTATGGTATTTGGTAGAACATGTGTAATGCACTCAGAAAGCAACACATATATGGAAACATTAGCTCTTTGCCTTCCTTCTCAGCATACCCATGTTCACTATAAAAAAAAAACATGAGATTCCCTTATGCTGCTAAAATTAAATTGGAAAACAATGGAGAAAGAGGAGCACTGCCAAAATTGAAACGACCACTGATAAATTTGAAAAAACTTATGCTGAAATTCATTAGGAAAACCTACAATAAATGACAAACAATCGCTTACAGCACAGTCATCTGGTGTATGACAATAAAGCACATTGACATTTCCTCTGCCTCCTTCAGAATTTTGAATCCTTTGCCAAACTCATTGAGAATTACAGGGAACAAGTTATTAATATAAAAAACATGATTAATGATAAAATTGATAACCAACTAGTTGTCCTAAAAGCATCATAAGTTTGTTTCTTTTTTATGCTTTGCCACAGACAAGATGTAAAAATCAGTTTGAAAATGTTAGGTAATTTGATTTTTTCCATTTTAGACCACTAACCCCTAGGGGTTGGGTCAGGTGTTAGTGGCATAATGTGCTTCAAGGCCAGACAAGGTCAAGAGTAGCAGAAGCAATCTGGGCATTGCTCCAATATGGCTGTGAAGAATACCATTAAGTGAATTCATGGTTGAGTCTTTCTCTCTAACTTACAAGTTTCTTCTGTTTATTTCATAGGTGTGAGTCATTCACATGCAATTCAGACTTAAACTACAATTGTTTGGTATCTAAGGTACAGCTTAACCTGTTTAAATCTGTAGCTTTAGCACCTGACAGCAGAAACAAATCAAAATAAATAGATAGGATATTTTCAGTCAGACTGGGGCCTCAATATCCTCATGAAGCTGGCTGCCTGACACGTTTATAGGATAGGATCCCTTGCTATCCTTTCCTCTTTTTAACCTCCTTAATCTTTGCATGAAATCTGCAAGCTATTCTGCCATAATTTTGGTTTTCAGACTTTGGGTGTTTCCTGAAATGAAAGGGCCAACATAAAATGAAATAATCACTATTACTTCTCTATTCACCAAGTTAACGATCATCATATTGGTGCATGCATTTAAAAAGTACAACTTCCTGAACGGAAGTAAGCCAAAATTTCTGCTACTCTGTTTCTTAGCAAGAAACAAGACTGAAGAATGGAGAAACAAAAATGGAGGAGGAAGAAAGAGAGATTGCCTTTTTAGTGCAACTTGTATGCCTCCTTTAGTCTCCTAAATTTAAAAAAATTGCAGTGCATTCTCTGTTTCAAGGAAATAGAACATATCCAACATATGGGCCTAACAATATACAGGGTGAGTCAAATGTCCAGGGGAAGGATGACCCAGGGCCTTGGAGGAGTTGAAATGCAATGTGCATAACGAATGTACAGCAATCAAACCCAACACCAGCCAGTACTTGAGGAAAAGTTTCCTCCAGCACAGCACAACAACTGTTCCTGTCTCCAGGGCATGCAACTTGAACACCTCTTGTAAATACATATGTACCCTATGAGTGGACTTTTGACATCATCCTGTATGTGAGTTAACTCTAACTCCCAATTTAACATTTCTTTTGAATTTCTAAATTCTGAAATTCTGTACCAAAGTCTGACTTTCATAATGCAACCCTCAACTTCTTGAAGCATACTAATGCATTATCTACTTTTCCCATTGAGAACAGAAAACATGCTTCACATTGGAGCAATTAAGAATCAGAATAGTGTTTGTGACTTCCTAGGTCTAGGCCCTGCCCACAAATTTTCAAGTGAGTTCAAGGCCTACCTTTTTTTTTTGGCCCTCCAGTTTGAACATGTAATGTCAGACTCACATATGATGGGCCTATCGCAAGTATCTTCAGCTATCTCAACTTGATATCTATGGACTAGGTCTATTTTATGAAGGCAGATTTTTGACCCAGGATGGGTTTAAAGAAAGAAGTAGGCACTACTACACCTATAGATCACTTTCTTTACAGTTTTTAAATTAGGGCAAGGGATACAAACTCAAGTTTTTCGAGGACTTGCAGAAGCCTGTAAGGTGAAGTGTATGGGCCACAGCAATCCACCACTGGCTTCAAGAAGCAGTCGGCTGCATAAAATACCACCAACGAGTACAGTGTGCTGCTAGACTGGAGATAAACAGGAAATCAGTCAATTCTTCCAGAAAACTATGTTAGACAGATGAATCTTACACTTATTAAATCAGACTAGTCAGTAATAAGCCATCTGTATCAAGTCTGCTACAACATTAATTCAATCATGTTATATCAACAACCAGAAGCAGTTCAGTTTTAACAGTAGTATCATGATAGTTGCCCATTACTTTCCCTCAGTCATTTAGTCAGAATTTACTCACAAATTGGGAAAAATGATCAACTTTTGCCAGAAAATTTAACCCTCTCTATTTTTTGTCTTAATACATTGATGCCAGGAACTGTAATATTAAATTTTAAAACCCATATTGTACTGCAGGCGCTGGGCATGAATGTGTTAAGGGAAAATGAGTTTCATCTTATATCATCAAAAGAGTGCCTTGATGCTATTTACATTTATCTCATCCTGCAAATTTCTGGTTCGTTTTTGTAATAGTTATATTAATCAGATTGTTAATTTTTTTTCATATCAGTTTTTCAGGAAATTGGAAATTATTTCACCACTGGTCCTTCTGCTACTGTTATCATAAATGAAATTAATATTAGCTAGAGAGGCATTTTGGTTTATGCTGAGTCCCAATATGAGCCAGTAACAGTTAAGCGTGTACCCCCTAATGAAATTGCACTCCCTCTGTCTCCAATGTTTGGAACATGCTACATTGATTGGGATTCCTTTTATATATATTAAACACCAACCCCCCCCCCCTTACCTAACCTAACCTGGCCTAACTTAAGGAGCTACACAATATCCCTAGGGGGTATGCACTTAACCGTAGCCTACCAAAGAGTACACTTAGTTCTTCACTGCAAAAGCACATGAATTGGAGTTTATTGGCCACTTTTTGGCCCATTCACTAGATGAAGCACAATCAACAAAATTAAATGGTTCAAAACGTACCTGACATCCACAGTCCGTCTCAGACAGAGGTCCACCATTGAAAAACCTGCCAGGTGGAGGAATAAATTGAACTCAGAATAGAATTAAAAGTCAAACCATGACACAGTAGGTCCAACATGACTTAGGGGTACAGGACAGTATGCAACTCACTCTAATGTAGGGACAATGTAATTTCCCTTCAAATCATTGAGATAGGCCCCGAAGTTCCCTGTTGCCTCCACGAGGAAGATGACATCGGCCACTTCCGGGACACTGCTTATGACCATTATCACATCAAGATAATAAAATCAAGTCCAATATCACAGGTATTGGCTACAAGTCGTAGCGAAGCTTACGGTATCATTGGCTCGATGAATATTCTCAATGAGTACTAAAGCCTCCGTATCGAGACCGGTTCTAATGTAGCACGACTAGCGTCCACGTCCATGTCCACAGGATGCAAGAGAATCGCACATGCGCGATGAGCCTCTGGGAGTCCAGGGGCGGACCGTCGCTGCTCCTGTATAACAACAAGGTAGGTAGGTTTTCGACGATATTCGGCCTTGGTCGTTCCAATATCGGCAACGGTCTTCCCGCCACTCGCTCTTCTCATTCACTTTCGGAGAGTACTTTCGTTTTCAGCATTGTCCGTTTCAAGATCGGCAGCATCGGGTAATCTGCTTTTGGTGACAAGCCTGGTAGGCAAAGAATGCATGAAAGAAGCGAATGTTACGAGTTGGTTCCTGGGAATAGAGCACATCATCTGTGTATCACATGCTCAAATATAGACGTCATTAATATCAATATAAATTTTTCCGTTTTCAGCCTTTCATGAAGGAATGCAAAGAAAGCTGGTCTACCGGTTGAAAAATAAAAATCTGTTTTCATGATCCGGAAGGGAAAGTATTCCATGCTCATAGACTTTTTTTTGCAAATACTGGTTTTAATTTTCAGCCCTTCAATCCAAGCCCCATATAAATTGTTTATGGAATGGTTTTTAAGCCATGCTAGCCGTCTATACGCTCTCTCTTCTGGCTTCGAAGAATGACGAGACCATGGCATCTATGGGGCTCCATAAATGACTTCCGCGACGTCAGAGATGACCCAATTTTTGCTTGATAGTATCCCATTTCCGGAGATAAAGCGAAGGTGCAGCATGTTTTAGAGTTCTGACCTCGACATTGTCTTGCTGCGTCATTGCACACACCTTCAAACGTGGCTTCATCTCACATTTATAATGCATCCAAAAGTTTTTTTTTTTTTTGAGAGATGTCACTGAAGTATTCAAAATTACCCATACGTGAGACAACAATAGAATTATGGATGAGCCCAGGGTCCTCCCTGCTGTCATCATATCTCAGCTTGGAATAACGAAAATTTTCTGGTCATATGAAAGCATCCGGCTTCTGAATATACTAAGACCGAAACAAATTACAGTATATCGTCGATTTTCACGGCCAGAGCGGCTCCCTTGCAAGACATTGAAGAAGCATAACATCATGAATCTAAAAAAGTTTCAGCGGGAATCATCCATCTTCAACCTTGGGTACTTCTCATGCCTCAGGCCATGTGCATTCGAAAAATTGAGTGAATGTGAGGGAATTTGTGGAGGGAACTGTTGATGGATATGGGCCTGTCCACGCCAAGTGGTCCTAGAATTTTAGCCGGAAATTTTCCTAAATATGCAAATTTGACTTTCGCTACAGAAGTTCATCATCTCTTTTCCTAGAAGACATGAGTCAGTCTTGGTCGAGCGTTCGTAGCGTGAGGACGTGTTGGAG